CTCCGCAGCGTCAGAAGTAATTTGGGAAATTGGGGGCGGACTCCGTGTTTGCATTTGGTGGGGAGGGAAAGGCTGTAACGTGATTATTGCAAATGGATGGGTATTAGGAGAGAGGTCGGTGGGACTTTAAGTGCAGACATAGCTGAAAGTAAATGTTCAAAGGTCACAGATTCTCCGTACAGAATCTGATTTGTCTGATGTGTTCCGGATGTGCTGAAGTGTAGAATTGTATGAGATTGCATTTATTCTAGTAAGGGATTTCAATCACGTTGCTTTGACTACTATGATACTGTGAAATTTGAACAAGAATCCAAAATTTGTTGTAGGCATCCAATGCAATTTTGAGGTGGCAAAACATATTGTGGATGAGGAAATCTGTCTGATATTGTGACAAATTTTATTGCCATGTCTTAGCACATTTTAGTCATCATTCCATACTTGAAGTGTTTGAAATGGCCCCAAAACAAGCTACGGGATGAGTCTCTATTTTTTGGGTACCACCAATAGATTACCTAGAACCAGCCTACGGTACAAAACAAGCAACTGTTTTCCATCAGCGATATCACATTTTTCCCTCACAGATATCAGTATGCTAATATTGGGATAGGATTGATTCAACTTACTACTTTAAAGCAATGACAAAAAAAAAAATAGCTTAAAACAGACAATGCCAGTATTTCGGCTTTAAATTTTGGTTTAAAATAGACAATATCAATATTACGAAAATCTGTTTTCGCTGTCCTAACATTGAAAATCTGAAGCCTTCATATCTAAACGGGAGGCTAACCTAGGGAAGATACCGTCTGTACAATCTGTGTCCGTCATGTAGACTAATTGAGAGGTGTGGCCGCTTTGACATGGTCCTTTCTGTCAGTTGATGAATCAGAGCAGCCTTTCCTGAATGAATTTTTCATTCACCAGCCCAGGGAGGCTTTCACTAAGGACGGGGAGAAACACAAGATTAATAGTTAGCTGCAGCCTTCCCGAATGGATCGCTGGTTCTGGTGGCTCCCAACAGCTGAGGACTACAGCTCTGTCAATTTACAGCCGACCAAGTGTGGAATGAATATTCAATACTGAAATAACGGCTGGATATGTGCTGCAGAATTCATAGTTTTACCTGGCGTTGAAAGGAAAATAAATGTGTTGCAGCATTTGTGTCTTTATTATGGGATTGTAAGAAAAATGTCGTGTCAATGGCACTGTTATTTAAGGCGATTTTGTAATTTTGTCTAAATACTTCAAACTTATATCTTTCAAAGGTTTAATGACTTAATCTTCCATTAATCATCTTTTGCCATTAATAATGTTTAAAAAGTAAATTTCCATTCTTTTCTTGCCCAAAAAGGATTGGTTATTTTATTGCTCTTGGATGAGAAGGATGGTAGAGGAATGTCTTTGTTTAGTGTCATGTTATCTTTCAAATCGTAAAAATTTTATGGCTAGCATGTAAGAGTTGTTAGCCTTAACATGTAAAAGAAGACTTGATGATACTGAAACCTTCTGCATAATGATACCACAGCATACTGATATCTGTGAGGTAAAGTTGTGATGTCCCTGCTTGTTTCATATCGTAGGCTGGTTCTCCTTGTTTTTTGGCTATTTCAAATACTTGACGAAAATGTACTAAGAAATGGCAATAAATGTCAATATCAGACACATTTCCTCACCCAGAATATTTCTTGTTTTGCCGCCCCCAAATTGCACTGGATTGAAACACTTCTCCCCCAAACAAATCATTTATATATCGATACTGACAAGGCGTTATCCTAAGGTATACAGTAATTGTATACCACTGCAGTCTTCAAAGGAGCCAGCCCAAATTCACATGTAATGTTATTGGATAGGCAAATCCCCAAGTGTGAATATGTCAGCAGCTTTGATAAGGTGTCCTTTTCTACAGTCTAATTGGGCCCTAATATGTTTCAGTCTTCCATGCCCCTAGAGGGGACACCTAAAATGGTATGCAGTACATGTATTCCATGTTTATGCAAGGTTATTTATGTACATATAAACTAGGGTCATAATGTTTAAAGGCAACTATCATCCCTTGTGGCTCATAAACCTAGCAGTGTTGCTTCTTCTTTTTCCCCTGTAAATATTACCAGTATTGACATTTAGGGGAGAGAAATTGCTATCTTCCTTCTGTTATTAGACGTAATAAGAAATATTGATAAATGCAGTGCAATATTCCGACGAAAACAAATAAATCCTGTACAAGACAGACTTATGATGTTATTGTATGATATTGGAAGGAATCCTCGTTATACTGTTATGTTTTCAACAATGATAGTTTAAATATGTGAATTATGTCCGCGAATGCTGTAGTCTGAAATCAAACCTTCACTCTTTCTATGTCTCTTATTTATGTTTAACCCTTCAAACACTGAAACAGCTGTATGGCTGCCAATGTTCTATTAGGTACAGGGTTAAGCAGTAATGAGAAGGTTAAACATACATGTATGCAGCAAAAGACACAAGATTTAAACACAGTTTGCAATCATTATTTCATCACAAAGTCAATGTAATTGCCTAGGTGGTGCTACAAAATGTGTGCGCCTCTGTTTTAGTACTAACCAGAAATGTCCGAAATGTGAGATAAGTGGAAAAGTGGAAGTAAGTTACTGTCACACAAAGATGATTGCAATTCAAATATTTCAAATTTTGGTGCAAAAATGTTCCATACTGCCCCTTTCAGTATATGTTTGATATGCTAAGGTGATGAGATACAGGTAGAAGTATTGTTTGTGCCTGCGGGGAGCCCAGATGAACCGTTGGGTAATATTTATAGTAGCGCAGGCACACGGCGGCCAGGCGGGATGTGCTAGTATTTATAGCTGTGTGAGAAGATAGGCATATTAAGCTTTCCCTCTCCGAACTGTAGCTGCAATGGTGATCATACAGGACTGGCAGAAATTCCAGGTAGAGTTCTGTGGTTATGACTATGTATGAGGTATTTGTGATGCAGATGTGGGGTTTGATTTTGCAGTTTGGCTTGTTTTTGCCGCGCAGCGTTGATGGAAAATTCTGGAATGCAATCGTGTCTGATGCCACGTCAGTCACTCTATATGTTATACAACACTACTCAGTACTGATTATTTTGCAATTATTGTTTAATTTCCTAATTAGTAATCATAGTTTTTATTTATTGTACAGCTTGTATCTTCAATTTCGTTTTGTTTGCAGTGGAATAGATGGTTTGTGATATATTGTTAGATGGTGGCTGTTTTGAATGTTATGTAAAATCGGGTGTTGATTGTGTACTACTAGTAATTGTTTTTCCATGATGTCACTAACATTTTTGTCTAAGATCTACGAGTTTAGGGGGGCATTTTGGTATCATATAGTTTTGAATTAAGTTGCTGTTAAGTCATGTTCAAAGATTTGTTGCAACTGTGATTGAAAATTAGGTGATAAAGGAAAATTGTACACGATATCAAGATTTTTCTTCTTTTCCTGTGTTCCACCATTTAATTTTAAATATTATACTAGTAATTGGTTTAAACATAATTGAAATGAATTCATGTTTATCTGTTTTCTTTCATTGTATGCAATTTTGTTTTAGATTTCGATCTGTAAAAATGCAGCCTTCCTATACGTTAATTATTACTAGTATGACCGTTTCCAAGTAAATTTCCATTAGAAAGTTGACAATTTGCCAAAAATGGTGCTGCCTTCATATGTGCGGTTAATCGGTTATGTAACAGTTCGGTCTATATACTTCCGATTCAATCTGATTAAAGAAATTAGAATTAACGTTTGGGCATTTTGTCCTTTGTGAATTTCTTTTCCATCCATATGTTAAAATTAACAAAGTAACATTTGGATTGGATTCAAGCAGTAGCTACAATTTCATCGGTAGATCATGTTTACTGTTCTGGATAGTGTTCCCCTGGTAGCCATTTTGTAATCAATACTTTCCCAGAATGTGCAACGGAATTCGCACCGTGCCTGTGTTTTACGTCCCTGATATCTTGACAGGAGTAGCTTTCAGTTGGCATAAATACAACATTTCCACAAAAAAATGTGTTTTTAATTGAGTCCACAGCTTATGAGGGGGCAGCAAAGTAAGAAAGCTGATTGGTTGATGTATCACGGATTGTTCAGGGTTGTAACAAATTGACGGGGTGAAATTTAATCACTTCAGCTGTAGGGATGACGTCATTGGCTGAGACTGGCGCTAACAGGGTCGCGCCATTCAACAATACATTATGGAGGGAGGCACCGTGGGGCTATGGATTGGGCTTAGGGGCAAAATCTGAATAGCTTGGGGTAGAGAAAAGGTCACCATGTAAGGAGTCTTATTCTTCTCCAAGTAATACTTAAGAAGGGCTCGTTCATCTTAAGATGTAAGGGCTTATTCATCTTACAATTCCCAAGGATTTCTGTAAAGAAATATATGGTGTACTGTAGTACAGTGCAAGATATTATGTAATACCAGCATATGTTATGTAATAAGGGTGAAGTTTTGTATGTGGTGGAGTTATGCTTGTTTCTCACTTTAGTATGGAAGTATTGTTTTGAGTTTCTGAGTTTGTATGTGCAGAGTAAGTTGACAGCAGATGGGTGGGTGAAGAATGAGAGTTCAAAGGTCATAAGATTTTAAATTTAAGGCCAACAAAGTAACAACAAAAGAATTGTTGATACTGTCACAACCACCATATTGTCTTGATAGGAAGGCATTCAGTACCGAGGACAGGGTATACCAAGAACTTACATTTTTCACACTTCTTTGTATTTCCAGTGTTTTTATTCAATGTCTTTTGACAAATTGTATGTGAAGAAGCTGAATTACTTACATGGCTTATTTTTGGCTAGATATTGTTAAAGGGCAACAAAAGGAATGGTGCTGACAGGCACTTATATTCTAATACCTTATAGATTTAATGCATTATTTTGTGTCCATTTGTCAGTTGAAGCCTTGTAGAAACAGTGTATTTTCACCTTTAAGTTTAACCTTGTTTATTAATGTGGAATATCTATGTTTATTGTCTATGCAGGGTTCGGCGGAATCATACAACAGTCGACCCTCAGAGTCAGACATCTCCTCCCAAGATGAAGACAGGGAGGCACTACGGCGTGAGTCGGAGAAGCAAGCCCTCACGCAGTTAGAGAAAGCAAGGGTAGGGGGCTCTCTTTTTATGTCAAACTTTACCTTTGCAGCAGGAAAACATATTGTTCTTGCTCTGTTTCTTCTTCTCCAAACAACTAAGGTCAATGACCTGGACCAGACAGCTGTTGCCATGGTAACTAGTGCTGTAGCAGACACCCTGCAGTGTTGGGTTACATTATGTAGCAAGTGGCTGGACAGAGTTGGAGGGGCTAGTTACAATATATTTGAATGTGTTTGAGTCAGAAAACCAGCTGCAGGCTGTCAAGCATTTATAGAAAACAAGGTTAGAGGTCTCTCTCTTTTTTGTCAAGGTTTCTATAAAATCACATATTGACACCATAAAAGCAACCTTAAGGAAAGAATAAAAGTCAAGATAAAGGTTTTAGTATGATCAATACTCCCTAAATTCTGAGTGCTTTAAGGTACAGTCAAACTTTTCTAGTGCAGGTAATTTTCAATGTTACCTGCACCAGTGCAGGTTTGCAGAAAAAAGTATTCTGAGCCCTGTATAATAGAGTGCATGTACAATGTATGCCATAGCAAGCCAAAGAACAGTGAGATAAGAAAGGCCTGCATGTGTCTGTAGATAAAAACTTTCACAGTCTCCACAAAACAGTTGTATAACTAGACTACCAGCTGGTCCCCTCCCTGTCTTGTCTAGTTATACAAGAAGCAGGATGCCTTTCCTACTCGTGCAGAAAGCGGAAACTCAAACTGCGTTGGTGGAAAGAAAATTGGCCGTAAAAGCTCCTAAATAGCTGGTTTTAATCTGACTCATTGACGTCAGCGCCTCTAGTTCGTTGGTTTTTACCGCTAAGAAGACATTACCCCTTGGCCTTGGACCAATTTTACCTTAACAGTTTCCGAGTACGCTAAATATTTAAACATGTTGTGTCTTTTTTAAACACGCTGCACTAATATTGCTGACTCTTTTTTCTCAACACGTTTTACTTACTGATATAAAAAAATTACGTTTATAAGTTTTTGAAGCGTCTTTATTTTTCTAGTGGCAATGTATGTATTGTCTTCATTTTTGCTTACACTGAAGAATTTTTAGACTTGCAGTTTTTTTAGAACAGAATGAAGATAAAGAATCCAGGATGAGATTGCAAACGAAATCTGTCTACTTAGTATTGATTTCTGATAAAATATTTAGTGAATAGACCCCAGTTAATGTTTCTTCCGCCTCGGTGTGGAAATTATGATGAAATAACCTTCAGCAGAAACATTAAACTGTATTTCAAGTCCATTGCAGGAGCCAACAAAGTCAGGATTAAGTTCCAAGTTGATAACTAAAGATCAAATGACCGCGTCACGGAAAACGTTTTATCGCAGCGAGCCTCGATCAACGTCTTCCATCCAATCAACCGGCCGACATTATTACCGGCCGGATTAGGAGAGGCCGCAACCCCGGGAAAATGAGCAATTCAAGAACAACCACTTGATCATTCCCCTCCAAGTAAGGTCAAAAACAATTCCATGACACATTAGTCTGGTCCGCTGGGCCATTCTGTGTCGCCAGGATTGCATTTTAAGTGGCCCCGGTCGTGCTGCGATGAGGAAAGCCGTCTTGTTCGTGTCTGGAGCATTTTTGGAAATGTTTTAGGTTGCCAAAACATTCCTGCACTGCAGTACATCATACTACTATCATGTGATATTTCTGTTGCATCCTGATAATATAATACAGACCCAAGGGTGGCTAGGTATACTTGTGGTTAGGGTTGTTGACTTAGAATCTGAAGGTTCTGGGTTCGAATCCCTGACAGGCTTCAATGTTGTGCCCAATGGGAAAGGCACTTAATGCTTATTTTCAGGTGAAAATGCACCTATTTCAAGAGATTTGGGCCTTGTCACAACAAGGAGACCTTAATCTAGGGACATTATTGCCCATCATATAGCACTGAAGTCCTTGGTCCATTTGTCGGTAAAGGTCCTTTGTAATACTCCCTATAATTTACCATTTAGGCCAAATAAAGATACTGTAACAAGTGGCCAAGGATAAGTGTCCCTGGGTCATACATCCAATTGATTTATGGCATCAATTAAGGTTACGAATTTGTAAAAAAGATACAAGGGAGACATTCTTTTTTGCATGGGTTAGGATTGGCTGCATTTTGAAACTGACCGAATGCTGAAGGTATCTCAAATTTATTTTAAAAAACAGATACAAACTGTACATTCTATGATTTAATGAAAGAAAAAGATAAGTTCTGTCTGAAGTTACTACACCTTGGAAATCAATATAGTTACATAACTGTTTGGTACATTCATATGCATTATAATGACTTGTAGATATAGCAATAATTCTAAACAATTTTTACTATGACTAGCACTGACTGTTTCAATAGAAAGCTTGAAAAAAAGTGCTTGAAAAAATGTTTTTTCTAGCTAGTATGAATAATGTTTTTACAGATTACAGGTCCTGGTCTGTGTAACGTCAGCGAATTCCTTATAAATATTTGAAGGTTTAAGAATGATCCATAAGAAGGCGTGGCCACAGCACCAGGTGGTGACCATAGCGTCACCCTGTCAAAGACAAAACCACGACAGGAGTGTCTGTCGGGACCCGGGTCACTTCTAATGGCCAAACTTGATTGGAAAAGGCTTGCTTGATGGGTGATCGATCGATGTTCGCTGCCGATGGATTTTTCCTGGCTTCGCTGATGTGTTCAGGTCACAGCCAGCACCCCCATGGCAGCCGATAAAAACGCCTGATTAGTATTCTGTCCATACGGCGTGCGCAGGAAAACAGATATACCGTTATTTCATTGGTAACCTGTAGTTTATTTGACAAGAAAGCAGATGGGTAGAAGAACATATTCTATACAATATCACCTTTATATATAGATTGTTTCTAAAAGAAATCCATATCATTTCACAAAATTTCAAACAGCCATGCATTAGTGTGGACTTACATGTACATGTATGCTGAAAGATTATGTTGAGAAAATTTTCAAATTCTGTATCAAAATTTTTCTATCAAAATTGATGAGAAACAACATATCTTCATACGTAATTAAGTACCGGTAGAACGTTAATGGAGTAAACACAGGGATAAATAGAATGTTTTCTGCGCAAAGCAGGGATCAATTTGAGGATTATCGTTGATATGAATAATTGTTTTCAATTCCACTGGCGTGACTATTCTGGGTGTGGCTCACAGGGAAACTGTCTTCTCATCATTTACTAACACGGAAAGCAAGACAGCAAATTCAATTTTACTTCATTGTTCAGCTTTCCATACCAATTTGAAAGGTAAAAACCAGTGCAATGTAAAAGAATTGTACTAGGAGTATTTAGATGCATAAATCAGTGTATGAATATTTTTTCAAAAATTCTGCTTTAATTTTACTATGCTGTATTCCATTTGGAAAGAGTATTAGTAAATCAACATGAGGGCATAAGATTATAGTTTCTAATATTCCTAATATTGTAATAATTGCAAATAAGTGAGAAGGATTGAGTCTGCAAAATTTGATTTGTTCTGCATAAACAAGAAAACCAGGATCTTAATGACTATCATTACAGTATATGAAAACAAATAAGTAAAATGACAGCATGATTTTGCATTTTTAAGATACATTTTTTGTCAAAACACAAATATTAATTCTGCTGGCATTTAATGCATTGTATAATGCTACCAAATCAAATTTGAAACACACACTCATGGCTTAAATTTCTTCTCAAATCACTACATACATCTAACTCCATTAATTAAGTGCATTTCTGTACAGCTATGTTGGCTGGCAAATTGTTCATAGCCTGGGTGCCATCCCCTACCGCGAGTCGGCGATAATTCCTCGGCCCGGGAAAGGCACACGCCCCGCCGACCCTGATTTGCACACTGGCTCTAATTATCTCCTCGCGCTAGGGTCTGGCCGGGTCTCTATACAAAGCCTCTCGAGCTAGGGGCGTGTCACTTACCGCGCGCACCGCAGGGAGCACCCCTGCCGGCCAGACGATTGGCGTGAAAGATATTGGGTTTGGGGCAGCCTGGGGTTGGGCGGCGGATACAGTAGCGGACACAAAAAAAATCTATCGCTTTATGAACGCTAGCGTCTGGCACCCAGGCTAATTGTTCAGGGAGTGGCTGAGAGCTAATTTCTTATTAGTATGCGAGTCACGTCCTTCAGTTGGCAGCTATCTCAGATTGTCATTTTTCATTAAAAGTTAATATTGTGGAAACGGCGTCCTGCTGATACCGATGGTTTCAAGGCTATCACAGCAGGAGGGAGTGCGTAAGCACACAGTAAATTATTCTTTTGTCAACCCTTAATAAGAAGGGATATGAGATGGATTAAAGAGCACTATTACATCCACAGGGCTAAAAACAACACCTGCAAGTTGCATAAAAAGGTATATTTAACCTACAACTTTATAGCCAATTTGGCAAGCTAAAAGACAATTATACAATTTTGTGTAAAATCAAACTGGCTGAAGCACAAGATATGTCTTGATTGTGTTGATTTTTACAAAGTAATGATTACACAAATATTTAATACAGTATTGTACTATGATTTACTGTATTGTATATAGGAAAGAAAATTTTGAGCCTTGTTCTCACTGGTATTTATATTATATTCATGTGAATCATATGAGATTCCTTTGCATATGATGTACATTTCCAAATTTTTCCTTACATTGCTTCTTTAATTATTTCCCTGCTGCCTAAGACCATACTTACTAAGACCATAACCAATATAAATTTGTGAAATGGCTACTTTAGCAGCCTGATGGTTAAAAACTGCATACATTTTCTCCTTGGCAGAATATGAAGCAGTTCTTTTAGTCAAAGCTTCGTCATCAGAAAACTAGAATTCTCTCAAAGTGGTCAGTTATTTCAGCCAGAGTTTTTCAAACGGAATTGTTTCTTCAGAAGAACGCTACATCTGAAGACTTTTGGACACTGAGAAATCAGTGGTTCCCCCACGGAGATTCCCATTGTAAGAAATCGATACTAACCTTCACCTTGGCTTTATCCTTACTGCTGGGATTTGGGTGCACGACCTTCCCTGGAATGGGGAAAGATTTGTTTGATTCATTACTGTGAGTTTCTTGCTGATTCTATCTATGCATTTTCCCCACTGGCTGCTGGACAGACATGTAGCAAGGAACCGGAGACAGGAAATGAGATAATCTTTTCTGGGACCTCTGACCTAATTTCCTGAGAGTGTGCATGTAGCATGTAGAAATAACTACAGAAACAAACATGCATACATGTAACTACTGCAACAAATATGTATATAGCATGAAATTGAAGACAGGAAATGAGATAATCTTTTCTGGGACCTTTGACCTAAGTTCCACTGTGTCATTTCCAGTTTCTAATTTCTTTTTTCTATGCATGTCTGTTACCTCATGAGATCCAGTAGAAATATGTATAGACGGAATCAGGGAGAAAAATCACAATTATAAATAACCCAGGGCCATATAGTGCCCTAGCTTAGATACGGATTAAGTTATTCCTAATGTCTCGTAATGTATTTGTTATTGCCTAAAGCGAAAAGCAGTAAAGAGCTACAACAGTGAACTTGGAAATCCATCCATGTCCGCATAAGCCTATCTATTTTCATCCAGTCATATATTATGAATGAGGAGGCCACACAGAAAAAGGAGACAATACTGTTAGCTTCTTCATCTACAACTGTAAGATCTTGGGGTTTTGTGTCTGTGGTGTGGTAGTAGAAACGTAAATATTTGATCATAACAATCTTTGAAAATAATAATGCAATGGAAGAAATATCAAGCCTTTGTGTACTGTATTTTATAAGTAAGGTATGTCCTCAAATTTTGTATAAATAGAAGTGTTATTATTTTGCATTAAACATAATTTCCCCCTCACTTCCTGTCACTCTGCTGTATTCAAATAACTATGGACACTCAGCTAAAAACACAAACACACCAAACACAAAACCTCCATACACAGAGGTAACAATATATTATGGACCTAATTATAATATTGAACATTGAAAATTTCATTTGACTTAAAATGTCTAATTATTCTATTTTGTGTTCCCTCTACAGACAAAGCCAGTCGCCTTTGCAGTACGAACAAATGTGGGATATGACCCTATGGCCGATGATGACTCGCCTGTGCAAGGCAAGGCGGTCAGATTTGAAGCCAGAGATTTTTTACATATAAAAGAGGTAAGTAACATGTTGACTTTGTTTTTTTATTGCGTTAGCTGTTTTAATTCAACGTTATTCGTAGCCAGCCCACTGAAATTCAATGTTAAGCTGTGTTGGTTGATTGACAATGTTTCACATTGTTTGCTATCTCGAATTCATCGCTAAGCATTATTCACAAATGATTTGTACTGTGGCATCGAACACCAGATTGCTAAAAAAAACATAGCGTCCAGTTTGTCTGTGTTCACAGACTTTTGTCAATATTCTGGTAGACACCCAGCCTTGTGGCGTCTGTGTGGTGTAGTGGATAGAGCGTCCGACTGTCAAGCAAGAAGACCCAGGTTCAATCCCCAGGGTTGGACCCAGACATGTCCGGACTTGCACCCAGACGTTGTGCCCTTGGGAAAGGCACTTAGCACACATTTCCCCCTCAGTTTAGAGGGTTCCTGGGCCCTACTAGGGTTTGGGTTGGCGTTAGGAAGAGCATCCAGCCGTAAAAATCCTGCTTCAAAAAAAAAAGTCTTGTACTTGGTGCAAGCACGTCTAACCCCCGGTTGGGGAAAAATGACGTTAAATTTGGTTAAAAAAAAAAACCCCGTGCATATAATGGAACCATCCAATGTACCCCTTCCAAACTCCACCATTACTTCCAGACATTACGCCAACAGATCAATGTCTTGCACTGCAATGAGTAACATTTCTTGCCTTCCTATCATTTCTGAGCCTTAAGCCAACCCCAGACTCTACCTAAAAGACTCCGGGCCAAAATCCATCCCATATCTCTTACTGCCCAGACAGTATAGACATGGTGGTGGCACATACTGTAGATAATACATGTCCCTTCATACATTCAACATCACCCTTTGTGACCTTAGCAGGAAACTTGGATCTGGACATAGATCCTGAAATCTTGCTACAAAACACACCTTCCAACACTCCCATCACTGTCTCATCTCTTCTGAGAAAAAAACGTCCCAACTCCAAGTCCAAGAATATGATATATACACTGAGAGATGGTAATTCCCCTCCTGGGCTTTTCCAAAGAAACATAAAAGGATTTGAAAAATGGCTGAAAGGAAATGGCAGCAGCTATTTGGCAACATGTCAACCCAAGTTTCTTGGAAGAAGATTTCCCGTGAGTTTTTGCTTCTACGTAAAAAAGGGTTTATCTCTCTCTTGTTTACTATTGAAAGACAGTGAAGAGACTTTCTTAATCAAGACTTAAGTCCACAAGACTGTCATTCTGAATAAGGAGGCGTCTTGAGACCATGATTTACTTCTTTAAGAAGTCCTTTTGCGGCTTGTGTGTCGAGTTGTTGAATTACAGTTTTCTACACTTTGAACTTTGCCTTGTAAAACAAGGCTTAGGTAAATTACTCGTGTAGACAATGTCATCTTAAACTTTATGGGGTGTCCACTCTGCAATCTTGTCAGAGACATCTTCCTTCACGGGTTATCTAAGAATGATTGCTTAATGAAATGCTTGGTATGTTACGGTACACCAAGGAATATTATTCATTAAGGGTTACACTTGCAGATGACATCAAGTACTTAAAGTCAGTCTGTATCATAACGATTGTGAAAGTAATCAGACAAAGGTCCAACAACGTGATAAATTCAGATAACAAAAGATAACTACCATGTAGCACTGGTCGAGATAAGAGCAATAAAGATATAGGTCCTGCAAGGTGGCAACTTAGATAAAAAACAATTACTAAAAAATCATTCTGGTCATTAAAAGTGAATTGAATCAACCCTAATAACATTGCAAATAAGTGCTATTGAGGAAGTGGAGGTGCCAAAATGTAATGACTTACGAGTGTGTTTAACTGTTGGTAACACAGCTGTCAGCCATGTTTGTTTACATTCTGGTAGTTTATGGTGGCACCACAAACGGAGTACATGTACGCCCTGTGTGGGCTGTGAGGTAATTGCACTAAATAATATGTTGAAGACTGAAGTAAATTACAAATCACACAAAGATTTTTTAGTTAAAATATTTCAATTTTTGGTGCAAATAATGTTACATAGTGCCTCTTTAAGAATAGTTAAACTCTTACTAACTACATGTTTGTTTCCTGTGTTTAGAAATACAACAACGAATGGTGGATCGGCCGGTTGGTGAAGGAAGGATGTGACGTGGGGTTTATACCAAGTCCTGTCAAACTAGAGAACATTAGGTTACAGCAGTCTGCAGCACAAAACCGCTCTAGGATATACTCAAGGTAACGCAAATACACTTACTGTCATTGTAGTGTTATTTTGAAGTAAAGGGATGTAGGAGGTTGGCGTTTGAAATTACTGTTAAAAATTCAGTAATGCTGTAGAACTCCTAAACATATATATATATTATATATATAATATGCACAGTGTAATGATTTTGAAGAAAGAGGTCACAGCGGAAATAAAATCACTGCAAGCATTTAACTTCGGATTTTCATTGCTTCAAAGGTTTTGATTAGGTTTATGTGTAAATTGCACAGATTGTAAGGTACATATATACATTATGTTCATATAACACTTACTATTATAATAGATAAAAAACTGTCAGAAACAATAATTTATGTTATTCCTTGTGTTTTACAGCAAAGCAAGTGACAGAGAATCAGCTTCTGAGTCAGGTATGGCAGTCCTCTTCTAATATGTGAATTCTGGTTTGTGCTACTCACATGTGATTATTATAGACCAAACATAAGTCATAGAGTAGCATAGTAAGATTCACAGTGAAAGATTTAAAAAAATTGGTGCCAAAAATCCTAAATGATAAAAAGCATAAATTCTTTGCAGTGAGTTGTCATATCACATGTGCGTGTATGCGTTGCACCACTCAGCGTTCGCACTTGAAAGTCATAGCACAACAATCAGTAAGTTAGTAAACTAAATCAATATGACTTTTCTCCACATGCTTTCTAAAAAAGCACTCAACTTTGTCAAAAAATGTTGGAGATCTGCAGTTACAGTGCTGGGCATACTGTACAAATCATTCAAACACTGGGTTATTTTTTGGGGTAATACAAAAAAAAAGAATTGAACAATAAGTGGTACTTTGTAGTTCATAAGTATAGAACATTAAAATTTCCTTTTTCTATGAACTTCTAATAACAAGCTATAGTAACCCAGCCTTTTGACAAAACTCTAAAAAAAATTGTGACACCCAAGCTTATAATTTACTTTCTTGGTAACATTTAGTTTTTATTCTACATAACGGTAGTTGTCTTTGGTTACCTATGTTAACACCAGGCAAATCTTTCCACAGCTACGATATAATAAGTTTCTTTTGTTCCGCTTGTGCTTTTTTGATCCCGTTTCATTTGATTCCCTCCCAATAGAGCTCCTCACCGTTGAGGGACAGGGAATTATAGACTTTCGTCTGTAGAAGGTAAACACCGTGTGAGACCCTAACAACTCGAGTGACTTCAAACCATCCTCTAACTATTCAGTTCTCCGCCTTGACCATGTTTGATCCACTTCATGTTAAACCAAATCTTTCCTCTCTTTCCCTGTAAAAGTTGTTTGACCCTTTCCCCTCATCCTCCGCATGGTAGTTTTGTGTTTTTCAGCATCTGGTATGACCTCTGACCCATTTCCTGGTATGACCTTTGTCCTAGTTTGACCTCTGACCTGGTCTGACCTCTGACCTAAAAGCATGGATCCTGTTAGCCACTTGATAAGGTCAAAGTTCAGTTTAGCTTCAAAGTAAACCAGCATCGTGGTAAGTTCCAATAAAAAGGTCATCATGTCATGAAAAACATCCATCAGACTACTAAAAATGTGCATTTCACTGTCAATTTAACCTTAAGCACACTGAAGTAGTTATTAAGCAACAATTCTCTGTTGGTTATGGGGTTAGGCAGCAGAGAGAAGTTTGAAATGAGACTGAAGTAGGTAAGGAACATTACATAAAAGCAAAGACTCGGAAGGAAATGGTGAAAAAACTCTGACTTAAGTGTTTTGGAAAAGTATCAAAATAATGATTTAAACATGTTAATATAAAGCTGCTTGCAGTTTTAAACTGTCACAACATTCTTTAAACAGAAGGATTCAGTCTAGACATTTGTCGCAAAGACTGAATGGATGAATCAAATGTACAATTGGTGAAAATGATGTGTCGTAACTGATCCTAACATTGGCTAAAGATTAACCCATCGGACCATACAGACCTTTGGGAGGAAAGAAAACATCAAGTCTCCAGTGTGTTTTCCTCTGTATTTTTACTGAACTTGAACGTGGGGCTTCTCCTGTCCAGGTCTGGACTCGGAGCAGAACGGCGTTGACCTTGGAGAGGACAGTGACTCCCTCAGTAACGTGCGGAGGTCAACCCAGAGTGTCACCACCCCAAGCCTCACAACCCCCACCAAGAAGGAGAAAAGACCTTTCTTTAAAAAGGTAGGTTTGAAGGGGAAAACTTTTATCTTTAATGCAGTCTTATGATGGTAGTAATAAGGTAGATGATATTGGCCAAATTTTCTGTACAGCCAAAGAGCAACAACAAAAGATCTTTATTGACACAACAAAAGTACCGCGACCTATGTACGTACAAGTATATGAATAAATCAAGGTGTTGAGTTTGACGTATCATGTCTTATACTACAATGTAGTTCTAAGGACTAAACATTCTTTGCTATATTTATCTATTGTACGCACTAAGGGTTATCATTTTCTAGAATGTAATTGTGTTTATCTATTGGACAGAATGTATGAAATTCTGACGAGCCAAGCGGAAAGAAAGTTGAACAGTATTTATCATTATATCTAGAACAATCTAATAGTATGAAAAACAAATTACCCTTATTCCGGGAAAGAATAAAGTATCTACTGTTACAATATTTACTTTTGCACACTATAGACTTCTAAGGCTTTCTTTTATGTTACACTTCTGCCAAATCCATAAGCTAGTTCACTGTTCTAAGTGCATACAATGTACAAATGTATGTGCAGTGTATAATTGCATTGTCCAAAGTTAAAATGTTGCAGGCCCCTGGCAATATGTATTATTAAGAATCGCGAAGAGTCTTCTTTAAATTGACATATTGCACTCAGTGCCTAATTTTATTATACTTCATAACCATGTTTTGAATGACAACTTTTCTTTCACCTTTCTGTTATGGCTCAAAAACAAAAAGACATAGACTGGTAATACACTGTAACAGTTATGTAATAACTTGCCTTGAGGCATTACTGCTTTATGAAATTATTAATCCTCCACTGTACATGAAAGGGTGTGGATAAGTGTCAGAAGGGATTGTTACATAACATTTCAAATTGTAGGTACTGTGGATAAAGTAGAAAGTAATTCTCCTAGAGTTATGAAGTGTTGCATATTTGGCAGTCGCTATTTTTTTCAGACTGGAGTTATTAATCTGTTAGATTTGTAAATAATTACCCTCAAATTCTAGACCCATACCTAGAATACATCATTTCCATGTCATTTGCATATTTATGGGTCATTGAGTTGATGAAAAACGAAAGTGTCACATTGTAGTACTTGTTTATGCTGTATAATGTCGATAACGAAAGCCAGCCTCAAATATGACCTTTAAGAATCTTTTTCATTCTTGAAGGGCACAGGTTTGGTCAAACAACTTCCTTCAAAAAAACAAGCCGCAGCCATGGTATCACAGGTATTCACCAGAAAATACAAACAAACATGAATTGACTTGCTTCGCTCCTTTTGCTCTCACTATGCAGCAGGATAAGCCAGAAAAAAAGGATAAGGAAAAGGAAGCGGTATGTGCTACAAGTTCTGGTGGTCGCTACTCCAATCCCAGAGTTCCTTCTCTCTTCCAGAAATACTAACACCTGACCTCTAACCTTTGGTTTCCACGGTTACTACAACGTCACAAACAAATGGGTTGTTCCAGATGGCCAAACATTTTCTCAGAAAATGTCAGCAAAAACCAAAGATTCGAAAACGAAAAAAAAGCATCCCAGCTCCCTTTTGCATACTGCAATGGAACAGCCCAAACTACAGTTAAGAACAGTGCTGTCTTGGAACATGGCATGCCGTTTTTTAGTCTACTAACCCCTCCTAGGTTTAACCCCCTTAAAACCACCCCAAACCCACCTTAGAATTAAGGAAAGGGACAAGGTGATGGTTGGAGGTTTACTATATAAGGAAGTTAAGATTTGAGAAAAAAATCCAAGACAGCACTAAGTTACCTTTCATGGCTCTTGCAATGCCTCTTTCTTGCCGTTTTTTTTCAGGGGACCTCTATTGTTGCAAGGGTTGCAAAACAGCTTTGCTAGTTCATAGTACAGTGGTAATAAGGGATGAACCAGTAACATTAGGTGTGGGGGTTGATACATTGTGTTTTTTGACATTGTGCACCTCCCCCCTTCATAGGTGGAGAACATTCCCCCTTATGAAGTAGTGCCTTCCATGAGACCTGTAGTATTTGTTGGGCCTTCCCTAAAAGGATATGAGGTAAGTAATTTTAAATCCTGCCTCTACAAAGTACATGTTTCATGCAAATGTGACCACTTTTTGGTGGTCCCTTAGATAATTTTCCTCAAAGACACAGGCATTAAGACTCCTGTTAACAGTGACCACCTGTCCACATAGACCAGATTTTATTGGCCCCTGAATAGTCTTTTGGGACAGTTTGAAAGTACATTTAGCTTCATTGTACATGTAACATGAGGTTGAAAACACTTGAAGTGAACATTGAAAAAAAATAAGAATCATATTTTGCTAGTTGGTATATCTCATATTGGGTTGTTGATTTGTTGTATTTCTGCCCATGTAGGTGACAGATATGATGCAGAAAGCGTTGTTTGACTTCCTAAAGCATAGGTTCGAAGGGAGGTAAGTGTTTGAAGTTTGATGGCAGACCTCCACCTTCTTCTGTCTTCCTAATGTCTAATGTCTTCGTTAGATCTACTTTTATTTATCGTAATTACAGAAATTGAGCAAAAAAGTGTTTAATTGTTTAACACTTAACACTATACTATTTTGACACCACCTTTGCTGCCTTATTGTAAGCCAGTATGATAAGGCATTTGACTCACCAGTCTACTTTCAGCTTAGGCCATGTTGATTTGATTATATGGATGACATCCTCTGGGAACCCCAAAACTGATGCGAGCGTGCGAATAAAAAAAAAGTTTAGCAAAAAAAAAGTTGCTTTCATGATGAAATCCATGTGGTCATGAAGGTTAAACAAATGACACAGAGTATGGTATGGCGAATAATCTACTGCTCAAATTCATTTCTTTACAGTTTTGTCTTTTTCGTTTGATTTTGGCATTCTGCGACATTGGTATCGTTTTCCAATATCTATTTTGCAACTTACGGTATATATTTGCTCATTTTGCAACGGTTTTGTACGATTTACAGTATGGTTGAAAACTTTTTTTTTTTGGAAACGGCCGAAAATTCATGCGCGCGCGGATGTCATCCATATAATCAAATCAACATGGCCTTACTGTTCTTAATGTTTCATATCTTCCATAACAAAAAAACACAGTTGGAACTGTGTGACTAACTTATTCTGTGTACTACTAACCCTCCATGTCAACTGTGCATGTGTGAGGTCCCTAACCTGTAAACAGTTCATGTCTGGAGCAATTGCTCAATACATGTCGAGATGCACCATGCCATGCATGCACAGTTGGAACTGTGAACCAGCTTATTCTGTGTACTACTAACCCTTCTTGTCTCCCTCTTCTTCCTACCTACAGAATAGTAATTACTCGAATTACGGCAGATGTAGCTATGGCAAAACGATCAATATTAAACAACCCCAGTAAACGTGCAATAATGGAACGATCCAACAGTAGATCACAGTCGATAGGTGAGTGCGCCGGGGTTGCTTGTTTGTCAACAACTGTTTACCTTTCTGTTCCTGATTGTGTTGTCGTTTTTGTTTTCTTCCCACCCACAGAATAGTAATCACACGAATAACGGCAGACATAGCTCTGGCCAAACGAACAATGAACAACAGTAGTAGTAAATTAACCGATCGCTCGGCCACTAGAGGCCAGGGAGTAGGTGAGTCCTGGTTTGATTGTTTTTTGTTTCATACTTCTTGCTTATAAGTTTGGGGCTATTTTGTTGTTGGGATTTGTGTTTTGTATTTCATACATTCTTCTGGTATACTTTAACAAAACAAAGCTATGAGTACATTTGCAACACAAGTATAGATGTTAAATAGTGTAAGATGATACATTACTACTTTTGAGCAGTATACAAAAGATATGTACTAACTTGCCATTTCCCTTTGTGATATATCATTGTTCTAAATGCTACATTTAGTAAAAGATGAAAGTATAAACTCTGTAGCTTTTTTAGACTTCCATTGAACTTTTGTGTGTAAGTGTATAATAGTCTGACTAGTGACTAACATGGTACCCATGTTTTATGATTTATGTAAAAACTTTGACCTTATAATCTTGCACCTACACAATGTAACACAGTAAAGAATGGCTTGAACTTTATTCTGTGCTTCATGGAAAAACACAGGAGACTCATGCAGATTTGCTTCAAACTAAGTTTGTGTGCTGTCATTGACTGTTTCTATGGTAACTGTTTCTATGGTAACTGTTTCTATGGTAAACGTCTCTATGGTAACCTCCCACAGCGGAAGTCCAGGCTGAGATTGAGAGGATATTTGAGCTGGCGCGCTCCCTACAGCTGGTGGTTCTGGATTGTGACACCATCAACCATCCCACCCAGCTGGCCAAGACAAGCCTGGCTCCGCTGGTCTGCTATGTGAAAATTGGCTCTCCCAAGGTTAGTCTTTACTTTCAGGTACGGAAGTATTGTTTTTGGGAAGCTGATTTGTGAGTTTGTGTCTCTGACTTAACACAAACAGGGTAGGAGTGAGCAGATTAGTGTGTTTATAAATTATAGACAGTGTAATCTATCTTGTGTGGTGTAATGGGTGTACGGATGTGCTATTGGGAAGATTTTATTACAGGCTTCTTGTTTGCAGAAATAAGACATTTTGTAATGATTTTCCCAGCGTCTTAAGTTCAAGGTTAACTCTACTCTGATGTCTGTTTCCAGGTGTTGACCAGGTTAATTAAATCCAGAGGGAAGTCACAGAGCAGACACTTGAATGTGCAACTGGTGGCAGCAGACAAACTGGCGCAGTGTCCGCCTGTAAGTGTACCATTCAGTTTTTGCATAACCATAAAAAAACTCACACTGTTTATGTAGGTTAAAGGCTCATTGTAACAAGTCATTTGGTGCAATATGTTAAAAAAACGCTGCTAACCTGTGAAGCTGGTGTGTTATGCAGAGGGGCGGTTATACCGGCTATCAGATACAGATACAGAAAGGGTGATGCAACATGTATATGAGAAAGACGTTTAAATTTGTGTTTTGGCTGGAGAGAGTCACTTGAATGGATGCCTTTCCTTTTAGTAGGACCAAGACTATTACAACTATTGACAGCCCAGATTAAAAGCGTCTATTTTTGTCTGTCCTTCCAGGAAATGTTTGACGTAATCTTGGACGAGAACCAACTCGACGAGGCTTGCGAACACTTGGCAGAATACCTGGAGGCGTACTGGCGGGCGACTCACCCCCCGCTGCCCAAGCCCGACGTCCCCCCGGGCCCCCTCCCCACGGCCGAACTGGCGAGGAAAATCCAAAACACGCCGCAGTCTCGCCAGGTAGTCATCCCTCGCCGGAAATGATCGAAAATCTCCCGATTGATCGGATCAGAATTTGAGTTGTGACCTTCCACGTGAAGTTGAAATCTTGACGATTTTGACCGCCTTGTGGTCAGGACTGGGCGCCTTTCTCAAAAAATCATGCTGACACGTCTTGGCTGCCATGCATGCCGGAAATTGAAGATTCAAAGCTCACCCAAGCTCATTTTTTCCACCCTTCATGAGCCAAATTTGAGCCACAATTGCCCAGCTTTGGGAGTGGGAGGTCTCCTTCATCAACCCCCTTTCATTGGATAACAGCAATTTGAGAACATGCAAACCATGACATGAGATCAACAGTTTGAATTGACATGCATTTTCCCTTGGTTGGCCCACTAAACTAGCAAGTCCAGTGCTGTTCGGACTGCAAAAAATACCATCTTGGGCCATCAGGAAAGTTCCAAAAGGGGGTTGTCATTTTTTTTCTAATGGCTTTGTTTGATTTAACTCAGCTTGACTGTTAATCTGTGTCTGTGATAACGACATGGAAAACCTCATGTCCGTCATATTGATGTGTGATGTTTGGCTCGCTGCGTGTTGCTCAGCGCACTCTTAAAGCTGGCCGGATACAGAAAAAGTGATGTGTGTTTTTTGGAGCTCAAGAAACAAAGTAAAATGTGGCGTGCTTGCAGTTAATGGCAGTCACTGGCTCTGTACAGTGAAAACAAAAAAGGAAGAGAGAGTTTGCAAGTAAATTCTTGTCTAGAAAAAATACTAAGTAGATTGTCTGCATGATATTAATTTGCCTAGCTTGTATAATGTCTGCGAATGTCTTGTACATGTAGCTTAGCAAATGCTTGTCTCTCTTCTTCATTTACAGGATGTTGTGACAAGTTGAACTCCCTACTACCCGTAGCTCAAATTATCCCATGTAAATACTAATGAAGATCATTTACACTTTTGTATGGTGGCACGTACCCTCCGAGTTTTACATTATGACTTTGATGTTGTGTTATGTTCCGGTTGTGTTATGTACTACTAACATGGCCTGTTTCTTTAACACGCATGTTCGTTGTCATTCACGTTTTACTAACCAGGGTCCCGACCTCGTGCATGACGACCGCTCGCCTCGCTCGCCGCGGAGAGGCCCTCCGCCTCACGACCTTCCGACTAGCCATAGCCCCGAGTACAACGCAAACTCCCGGGTAGATAGGACACACATTGACAATCATCCCGAGCCACACCTCGACCGCCACGGCCACAGGGACCTCGGGGGCCACAGAGACATGAGAGACCCGCGGAGAGAAGTCAGCCTGAGTAGAGAGAGACTTCCACACTCGCCTTCCCGCTCACACAACCGCTCGCCGGCGCGAAACCACCCCATGCGAGAACCCCGCGAAATCGCCACCTAGTCCAGAGCGGGCACTGGTAGTTCCCAGTAGTTTTGTTTCATGTACCCAGCTCGGTATGTCGGCTGGTAAAGGAAGAGTTTATATACAACAGGACTTCATAACTTATGGTCTGGAGAGAGATAGAGGGAAGCGATGTCAAATACGACCAAACCGTTATGTTTCTGGTATTCAAACCTGGAGGAGTAGGCACCTAGGTTGCTCTGGAAAGTCATGTTACCTTTTCAACAAGGCTGCAGGGTGACATACACTGTTTGTTTTTCTTGGACAGGTATCTCAGCAAAGATGTTAACAGGCCACAAGTCTGTTAATAAAGAGAAAAAACATGGCTCCAATTCTGGTATGAGTATGAGGGTTTGTCAGTACTGGAGTTTGGGAGCCAAGATCAGAAAGGGCAAAGCTGAGGTCTCTGATTTTCATGGTGAAAGTAGACGTTACCAGTGCAGCATCAGAAATGAATAAAAAAGAAACAGGCATTTGCATGAAATCAAGAATCCACATAGCCGTGAACTTTGAGACAAGGTGAGGTAAAAAGCCAGGCATGTACATGTAGTATCTACATGATTGTGTAAGGTGTGAGACAATGGCCTTTTGAAACACTTGTACAGCTACAATCATGGTATTACTTTGAAATCAAAATCATGAGCCGTGTACATGTGCTTTTGTTATAAAAAATAAACTAGTAACAGGATAAAATCCACACAGATCTTAATGTGTAGGAAAATGCCTTTGTAGACCAGTTTTGTGTTCAGTAAAAACAAGAGCGCAAATAGTGTTTTCTCTGAAATACACCCTACAAAAGGCCTGAGAGTATGAATTGATTCTTCGAGAGGTTACATTGTATGTACATGTAATAGTCCTTTGTTCAATGGCAGAATGTGTTGAGGATTTCAATTAACAGAAAATTTGTGGATTCGGATTGAAAAAGTCTTCATTGTACATGTATGTGTAAGAACAAGGCCTGCTCTTCAACACGTACTTTGGAACAATAATCTAACTGAATGCAGAGGCTAAAAGTAACTGTTGCGGTCACATGTTGAGTTTTGACACTGGTGTTACTACTTTCTAGGCCTGTCTAAGCACACTTCACATTAAATAGATGCACAACGTACTGTGTACCAGCCATGTGTGGTCTCTCTGTGCAAGGCAGAACTAAATGATGTAAAGAAAACTAAATGACAAAAAAATATGCCTACATGTTTAGTTCAGAGCGCCTAGGTTCACCTGCTCCTCCTGTCTACTTCTTAGCCATATTTAGAGGACAAAGGTGAAGGGGTAAACAGAACTACTATGCTGTGCTTCCTGGGTTTGAACGTTTGTATTTGAGTCATTCTTTTGTTCTGGTCTACCTCGATTCAGTTGAGGCTAATGTACATATGAAAAAAATGGGCATTTCTTCCAATTGTTGTGAAGCACCTTAGAAGAGGAAAATGTTTTGTGATAAACATTGCACCTTCAATGAACATGACAATTTGAGGGCTGGTGAGATGTTGTTTTTCTTCTTTGTTTTGAAATACCTAAAACTGTATTATAGGAGATATTTATTTAAGGTATTACTACAGGGGCAATGTTACTCTTGAGGTGCACCACATTAAACTGTATCAAACGGCTCTGCCCCTTAGGTGTCGCCAAAAAAATTTGAAGCGTGGTAGAGATACCCAAGAAACTTTTACATGCTGGTTGTGGACATTTATACCCAGAGTTCTGTAGGGAGGGTGATGTAAGATATTGTCACTGCATGCCCTCAGCAAAGTTCATGTTCTCGACACTTTACAAATTACAAATAAATGAGAATGGCATGCTTATGATTGTACAGAGTAGTCATGACCATTGATGAAGTCATAATGAACATTTGTACTCCCACGGTTGTTTTGATTTCCTTTCATAGATAATAATAATAACATGGTGGGATTGGAGATGTGACATGGGGAATACATACAGAGACAACATATATTAAAAAAGGCTCCGCCCCTGAGGCGCTGCCAAAAAGCAAGCTATGTTTGTTCACAATAGCAAGAATTCTGCTGCTATACCATAACCTGTGGCTTAACAGTTATCCCATGGGGTGTTTTCTTGTTTTTTTTTTCTTGGAAGTATCATGCCGCTGTGGTTTTTGCCTTTGATTCCAAGTTTTGTATGTCAAGCTTGTTATTTATGACGCTTAAACATTGTTGATAAGGAGAGGGAATACATAATATATTTTATTGTAATTTTGTACTTTAGTGGTTAACAGAACGGTTAAGGGGTCAAGTGGTTGTGTTTTTGAAATCATGATTTTTGCAGAAGTTGGCTGTATATACTAGATATGCATAGTATTGTGGTATTTAAATGCAAGGGGAAGAAAAGATATTAGGATTTACATTGTAGTGAAGTGGGAAAATGTTTAATATGAGGTGAACTGTTTAAAAAAACTGGGCCTTAATATCGCCAAAGAATCATGGAGTTACGATTTCTTTGTTACTGCCTTTGAGAGAATTAAAGAAAAAGGCAAATACTTAAGTTGGATATAGTAATGAAACAACAGAAATCATGCTCATAAGAATTATGTTAAATTTCTCTGGAGATTCTACCAAGTGTGGTATTAATATAAGGAGAGTTTTTCTTGGTACAAACCTGTGAATGTCTTAGTACAAAAATTAGTGGAAGCAAATATATTAGTGGTAAAGGCTCTCACTATCAGTTGAAAGGAATTTTATGGTATGCATTTGCTTTAGCACAAAGAAGACATAATCTGCTTTAAAAAAAATGTAACTGGATTGTTTTTGAATTACTCCTAATGGCTGATTATCGGTATAGTAGGTACCTTGCATGGTATAGCTGTAGGGTAAATGGGGTATCGGAAGATCTTGAAACAAGATTTGAGGTGGTACGTTGCGACTTCATAGCTCCTAAGGGGTATTAGTTAACTGTTTCCAAAAAAATTGCATGTGCGTCCTCGAAGGAGTTAAACAGTAACCACTTCATATGAACATATTAAAAAGAGAATTATCACACAGTAGTATTTTGCTGGGGCTAGTTAATAAGTGGTTATGGCCTTGCCATTAATAACAAATACCTGTAGTTATTGAGAATGGATGTCACCGAACTTTTGTAACAACACTGTATCATGTACTGGTGGGTTGAAACAATGTGAGCCTCGAAAAGCCCACGCCTCTTTTTCCTGCTATCCTGTATACAACCACGTTTTCCCAGAACTTACTACTGTATTATGAATATGTACAATGAATCGTCAACTGAGCACAGTAGGTCTCGACAAGAAAACAGCACAATTTTGAACAGGTTACCATGATCTGCAAAGAAAAAACATCCCCAAACCAACAGATTGGTTTGAATAACCCTGGTATTGTAATTTGAAGACATCCTAGCTGTTTGGAGGCCTGCTATGCCAGTTGAAACGATATGGACACTTTGCAAACTTTCCCGAGTCTCTGTGCACTTAAACCTATATCCACTCTCAGCTCTCTTGAAGATCCACCTATTTAACCATGTCTTCTACTGTATTTCCAAAAATGGAAGGCATTCTCTTTTCCTGGATTTGTAAATAAATTTTCAACAGCAGACTGGATTCTTGTTGGTTTGCTTATGTGTTTGTTTGTTTGTTTTTTTGTTAATAACTCTTCCAGCAATGGGGTTATGAGAAATTAGTCACTGAAAGTAGTATAGAAAGTACCTAAGTGTTCATATTTATGTGTGTATGTTGCTTTGATGCTCAAGAACTCAAGAAACTATGGATGGATTGTTACTAAATTTGCAGGGTTGGTAGGCCTTAATGACACATAGAAATGATAAGATTTTCGTTCCCCTGCATGGAATCTTGTTAGGGTACTGCAGCATAACTTCCGGTTTTGATATCTCGGGATACGAACATGCTATAGGGGGACAAATTTTGAATGGGAAAAAGTGACTTTAGTTTGGGCCCCTAGCAGCTTGTGGAACTGCAGGAGCATTTTTGAAGGAGACTGAATCATATCAGTCTGATCCAATCATCACACCTATCTTGGTCTATTTAAAAACACAAAAAAACAAAGCGCAAAACTCAATCATTTGACTGACATGCATTCACTTTCACCTAGCAGTTAATTTGGATGCACAGCCTTGACTGGCCTATGCTGGCTGGTGTTTATCCTTGCAGCCAATGACTGAAGTGCAACAAAAACATAAGATGACAGTAGTCAATCACTTTGACACCAACATTTAATCCAGAATATATGGGCTACATAGGTCTTTCATGGCATGTTATTCCCTACTTTCTATTCCACTTCAAGCAAAATTAGAACAGGCGTTCCATTGTCTAGTTCTATATCCAGGTCCTCCTTTGAAAAATCAACTTCTACAATGTATATAACGTTACACAGTACTTACTTGTTTCTAGATTATTGTAGGTAAAATCGTATCTAGTATCAAAAAGGTATGACAGATACATTGTACTATATACATTCTCAGCAGCTAAGACTCCCAGAATCTATGGAATATATTATCTGCCCTGTTATAATACTAACTGAACTGCAAGTTTTACATAACACCATATATCACTTATTAAGTACACACTTCCAGTGCACAATGCTTAGTAAGTGCCTTGAATTCTACTGCAATGTCATAAAAGTTCATCTGGAAAAGTTGCTGTTATCTCCAACTCAAAACATTGGACTCACCAGAATTTTTCACTGACTGACTCTGTTGTCTAAAGCTACACATGTATCTGACCCAATCGCTCAGGACAAGGCGCACCAAACTTGCTTCAAACAACCTTGACGGGGGGCGATATAGCCTTCCAGCACCCTTTGACCTCAGATGTCTATAAAGTCACTTGCCCTGAGGGATGCTGAAGAAGACTTCACGAATCGGTCAAAAACTTCTCCACATAAACATCAAGTGTTATGATACATGTAATGGATTACTTACACATTTGAAATTCATATTGACGCTATCACCATATTGATCAAATTACTAACAGGGAGGGTGTCCTAACAATAATCACATGAAATCACTTCAGAATCTCCGTTCAACTTGCTCGTTTGGCTGATGGTCTGGACTTCAGCGTATCCACATCACCCTGATGTTGTCTGTGTTCCTATAATACAAATCACACCCAAAGTTAGGTGATTTATATAGCTGTACAAATCCTTCGTTTTTTAACCATTTTTGAACCAGGCTAAACCGTTACCATTTGAAGGTTAACATGCATTTGCTGTGAAAATGCTACCTTTCTCTATTTATCAATCATTTTGCCCACAGTAACATTATGCATGTAGCTCTACTAACCAGCTTTATTAAGTTGAATTCTTACCAACGTGAGGTGATGGAGTTTTGGTAGTTGACCCTGTAGCCATTGCAAGATGTGTGCACGAACTCTCCGGAGTGGTAAGGACCCCCTCCAAATCGGATGTTAGTCACCTGTCCTACAGCTGCAGTTGATGAATGGCTGCAGCCAACGTACATTGAAGTCCAGGTGCCCAGTGTTTCCAGAGTTCCCGTAACGAAGACATAGGCATCTGTATACCCCTGGGACCATTGTCTGCAAATACAATGTAATCTGTGTTATAAATATGTCATCTCCCATTTATTTTTCATTTTAGAACTTTAAAAAAGTACATTTTTTAGTAGTAAATGTGCAGTTCTTGGCACATTGGCAACACTAAATTTGTGTGTGTCCTCATCAATGTTAGTAAGCAGATTAGCCAAGTGGCCCAGTGGGCGTAACTCCATTGTACAATGAGGAAGGTAGTGGAACGACACTGCCTTTCTCAAGGACACAACATCAGGCATTTGTAAAAATCAAATCTGGGACCTCTTGGTTCTGGGACAATAGCTCTGAACCATGATCATACCATAGCTGATATAAAATTGATTAAATGAGAAGTGTAGACGTACGATCCAGAAGGTGTTCTGCAGTTCCCCAGGTTTGCGAATGCTTGCATAGTGTCAATGCTGTATGCAGATTCGAGGGTCGCTTGCGAACCGCAGGGTGAGTTGTAGCAAACCTTGTTGCGGGATCTACATAATAGTAAAAGACATAGGTCACCAAAATGGAATTTTACCAAGAGGAGATCGTGACAATTACTCTAATAAGTGTAACGTAAATGCCATGATCACAGAAAGAAAATGGTTTGAAGAATCAATAGGTCATTCTTGGATGTACTTGGCCGTGTATTGCGATGTACGTTTGCTCAGAAAATGGCTCAGCTGCTTGGATGTCTTACCATTCGTGAGGATATGAATGGGGGGATCTGAGTAGCCTGACGTGCTAGCCTGGCCTGGTGGACTGGCCTGGTGGACTGGCCAGGTAGCCTGGCCTGAAAGGTGGACAGTTTTTTCCGCAAACCCTGTTTACCTGTAGGTTGACATGACTTTCTGTTGTCACGCCGTTTTGGATCTGAGCCTCCAGGGCATGAAGCCGTTCCCTCAGAACCGTCAACTCCACCTCTCTCTCGGCTCGCATGGCTGCCATTTCCTTCTCATAGTCGACCACTTTCTTCTGGTACTCTGACACAGCGATCAAGAGGTCGTCTATCTGCCGGCCTTGGACGGCCACCCGCTCTGTCAGACGCGCCCCTTCTTGGATGACCAAAACGATGATGACCACGGACAAGCTCGCTGTCAGAAGTTGGACAAGCGACGTCAAGGCAAGAGGGCCGTCACCCTGCCCGCGACGACGGCTCAAATAGCCGTCACCATCTATAGGGAGCTTTTCAGTACTCATTCTCTAGATAGATGCGTTTGTCTTCTCCTATATCTCCGACGTGGTCTTCCAACCTGTATTACTTTAGTTAGAAGGCAACTTTGCTGCGCTTTGTTGCACAGGTTGTGACCGCTACAAGGTTTTCACAGTTCTGGTCCACCACTTCCTTCTCCGGTAACTGTAATGGTATTCAACTTGACTTCTTAGTAACATAACGTCATTAACAAGTTATTTATTTTGGTCGCCACAGAGCATTTTGATTGGCTCTGAGCTGAAAGTTAAACTCAACTTCCTTGTGACGTCGTTTTACTTTGTACTGTGTACCCTGTGTATACTGGGTCGCATTCCGTGAGTCATACTCTGACGTGACTTTGGCAAAGTGCCCAGTGAGAACTTGTTACACATCTTTTCAAGAATTTGCTTTTATCAAATAACTCCAGACATACTTTGTTTTTGGCAATATCAAATTGCAGAGTTTTCCATTAGCAATCTCTCGCTGCCTGGGGTCGGCAACTGTCGGGCGGGCCCTGGCCGCCAGGAGCGCGGTTAGACTATCACTTCGACTGCACCAACGACTACTAGTAATCTCCAAGCAGATCATACGGTGGCAAGACAGTATCCATTGACCAGCCACCTAGGACACTCCTCTGGCCCAGGGCCAATGGATACCGTCTTCCCATCATATGAACTGCTTGGAGATTACTAATACCAACGACGAGGTTTTCTGTATTTTCTTCACGGTTTTACGAGTGGCCACGTAACGTTAACGTTACAGAAGCTTTTGATCATTAGGCTTAGCACTGAAGTAACCTCACCACTGAAGTAGCCGCTTGGATAATTCTTTATTGATTCTTTTAAACCTTTAGCACTGCTGCACACTGAAGTAGCAATGTCGATGGCAATTCTTCACTTTTTACGGGGCTAGGTAGCTGGGAGAATGTTAAATATTATTGTAGAGACATAGCAGTATGGTCAATAAAAGTTTAAAATTCCCGCTCATTCAGCTTAAATAGACTAGTCCAGAATGAGACTACAACTGGGGTCCATATGAAGTATAGCATTATTAATCTTTTACCAAAACAAGAAATTTGCAGTTTTAAAATAGACCACAAGATTAATAATAATATACTATTGTAAATGGTATATATTTTCATAAACAGAATCCGTAAAATACTTTTTATTTAATTTCTTACAACTGAACTTACTACTGGACCTCCCCTAATTCAATAGTGCAAGCTTCCACTCCCAAGAGCCTTTGCGAAATAGCCTTAGCAACAAACTAAAGGCAAGCAAAATGGCTGACGCGGTCGTCTGAAAAGAAGTCTGTTTATTGTTGTTTGCCTGGTGGCCTGAATGGGGGATTATATTACACCACATTATACAACCCCAAACGGCATCTAATGAGCTATTTATAAAGTCGGCTGCGAGTCTTGTTGAGGTAAGTTTTGGTCAGAAATTCAGCCGGAATTCCCGAATGATTTTACACCTTGAAGGTGGGGAGGGGGGCAGTGAATTTCTTCACAGCAAAACTAATTTGTTCAGGTAAATCGTTGTGTTGAGGTGACAATGTTACGCTGACCTATTTATGTTGGGGTAAATATTTTGACAAATCACGAAGGAAACTTGTTTTTCTTCTCACATGTAGGTCGTCCAAGCTTATATAAAATTGAAAAAGTAAGATTCTGAAATCGACGACTAAGTTACTAAAATTATCACAAAATAATTCAAAACTTATTACAGATCACCCAACGTACATAATGCACTGATGTTACTCTATAACGGAAATTTGATGATTTAGGCGATTGTGCATCAAAACACTCTTATTATTTTGACATTAGAATTTAATTTTAAGCATATTTTCTGAGGCCCACTATCGTGTCCAAGAAAATTAAGTTGAGTTAATTTTTTTGTTAAAGGTTTTGTATGAAGGTATTCTAATCCACATGTAATCCCTTACCACATTTCCAGGTCAGGGTCTTACCACAACAAAGCCCTTCAGTTCCAAGGATTATTCTGGTTGTAAGGATGTCCTAGTTTGGAACAACACTTGAAGAAGACATGACAGCAGGTAAGACAAATGTCTTTAAGAAACAGCGATACTTCGAACAAGGCAAACAGATGTCAAGTCTCAAGAGTCTCAAATCAAACCCAAGTCTTGTGTCATGTGGGCTAGTAAGTAAAAATGAATCTTCAAAACTATTTTTGATTTTATGCAACTACATTTTTGTAAGTTATGTGTGTTATGATCATTAGATTTACTTTATGTAGTTCAATAACATAATAACTAAATCACTTACTAATCAATACTGCCATAAAGCAGTGATTTTAACTTATTGGTATTAATGATAATTTTCTTGCAATTTAGTTTGGTGACTGAAAAAGAATCTTATCATAGTTTGGCATCAGTGATAAAACCCCATTGTTGTTATGCATGTTTTAGGAAGTCATACTAACACATGTTTTTTTAAAAGCTGATTAAACTGTTAAAAACTTTGCAACAAGCTGTGGTGTACGGTGTATGCTACATTGTGAATCCATCGATACAGTGAAAATTCTAAGATGTTGTTCACACAAACTCGTAACTGCTCTGTAATTAGAAGACTTACAAAGTTACATTTTGCCCATGGGTATGAATTAAGTAGTCAGCAGACAACAAGCAAAACATGTCAGTGTATGGCCCAATTTACATGTCAAATTTGCGATAGTAGGACTGGACTGGTAATATCAGGATGCTGACAGAGAGTTGTGAGATAGATTTTAAGGTTGTATGAAGGCTTTTTCTTCATCTTGCGAAACCCCACCTCGACAGCTCGAAGTAGTTGAAGTTGTATGATACCTCAGTGGAAGTCTCTGATAGTTTTAGCCTGTGTATATAGCCATTTGCAAGCTGTGGGGCTCGCAATGTTGGGAGGCCAGGGTCAAGGCTAATTACCATATCGTGTGAGAGTGTCAGTTGCACAAAATGGCGAAACGCGAAGGCCTTGCACCATAGCCTATGTTTCGAACCCATATACTGCGCACACTGGACACTAAGTATCAATAATGTGCTCATTGAAATACTTTGTGTCCAGTGCTATGGGCTGGCAACCAGACTAATTGAGCCACTGCAAAGTCAGATGTTTGTGGTCGGAAGGCAGCAAGTTGGAGACGGCCAGGGACAAAGTACTACTAGTAGCATTCAAGAAAGTTTGAGTAAATTGGGCTACACAATCCAAACTCCATGCATATATGTGCCCCCAGACAGTACACATATGATTCTGAATCTGAAATTTGCAATATCTGGAAAAGCTGTGTAAAGTTAGCCTATGTCTCTTCTTCAAACTCATAAAATGGCAACGTACATGTTAGAAATGATACCCTGCTTGTACATTTATTGTGGCCCACTACATATACAATGCTCTCGTGTTTCAAAAACATGCGCAAGTTCTGAAACCTGTGCCTGCAACACCTTCTTAAGTTTTACACACTCGACAGCCATCTCTAAAAGGGTTGCTATCTGCTTCACTTAACTTCTTTACACCACAGAGGCAGCACCTACCATTTAATTCCACCACATATTTCAGCCATTTGTTGCTGGTAATGTGAAACAAAAAGAGTAAGGTGTTTTTGGCAGAACTAGGGGGTGGAACCCTGCTGAGAAAATAGCCGTAATCCTCTGTTTTTGTGCAAAAGCACTTCAGTACGTTAAGTACTTAAAGTGCTATTAGTTGTTTAAACTCCTATTCTTTGGCAAGGGAAGGTAGGTAGATGTGTTCAAGGTGGACACCAGTCACGTTGTTGTTCTTAAGTTCTTGGACTTAAATGTGAGATAATTTCATTGAAGTTGGCAGTAGAAGGTTGGTAAATTTTTGTTTGTACTATAAATCACGTTGAGTGTCATGCCAGATTTTTCAGAATTGATATAGGATGAGTTTAGTGTAACATTCTGGTCTAAATTTCCATGCATCAGTGATTGTACAGGGTTGTATAGTATTAACTTAGGAAGGTTGTACTATCTTTTTTTGTATGTATGACTGGTATTTCTGCTAATGTCAGTAGCAAACTTAACTCGTATAGTCTTAAAAACTCCTAGTTGGTGTCCTAGTTCTATGGTCATTAGTTGGTATGAACATCCTGCTGATTTTTTGTCCCTGATTGTTTGTAAATGGGACTTAAGTAGCACGAGTATTCTTTGATAGAGTTGGTCAGCATAGGGGTCAGGTACAGAGCAACTTTCTGTGTCGCAAGCCGTGCATTGAGTCCCGAAAACATGACCACAGTAGGGGTCTGGTATTCTCCCTGAAAAAGTTTAAAACTCATAATCCTCTGAGACACTATTTCCTATATATGCTAATTAAGGGACAAATGTTGTCATGTTTTCCCTCTGTAACAATACAATGTATAAAGAACAATATATCTCAAGCCCTGATCCTCATGTATAACATTTTTGTCCATGTACAGGTGTAGTAGCACAAGACCCCATGTCGACCAATGGGGACCCACACGAAGGCGTACATCAGCCATTTTTCCTGAAGGTCACGACGCTGTCCCCGTTCGGACCCAACCTGCTGGCCGAGCCCAAGGCCCCGCCCCCCTCCGCACAGTCATCTTTCGTCGGCGCCACTTCTCGGAAACCACGGCCAAAGTAGGTCAAAGCAATTTGCTGCGTTTTTAATACGGTGTATGGTACTCGTCAAACCTCATAATAGCAAGTGTAATCCAGTCAAACCTCATAATAGCAAGTGTAGCAGTAGAAGTATACGTTTTTTCCAGACAGTAGTTGTTTGTTCCCTATTATGTTATTGTACCGTAATATAGTATTTTTCAAATAAAGACAATGATTGTTTAAAAAAATTGTTTTGGGCAGCAGAAGAAAGTTTACTGCTCAATGCATGGCAAAATTTGATATCTAGAAGTAGACTTTTCTATATGGAAAATTGCTAAACAGTTCTATTCTATATAATTTATGTACAAATGTATAAGGAACAGGGACTATTTTGAAAAAGTAAAAGTACGATTATCAGATAGTGTATGTTAAATGTTCGTCTCTGAAAAAAACGAAATACAGTGTCTGTAGCATATTTTATTTATTTAAATCACTAGCAATACATATTATATATTGGCCAAGATACTAGTACATGTATTATAAGGAATTTGAGATGAATGAGTGAATTCAGTTGTTGTTCCCATACTATACCATAGGCATTACAGTATATTTAGCTATATACAGTTAAAGTCCAAAGTCCAATTGGTCCAATATTTGTATAACCTGGCATATCTATACATGTGTGTTTGCACAAGGATTAAGTGAAACATTTGAACATGGTAGTTAGGTAAACACTAGTCGCTATGGACCTATTGGCTTTGTACTATTCACTCTTCAAATAAATTTATGACTGCTTGAAGGAATAGAGAGTTATTAATTAACAACACAAATACTTGTGCAATACAGTTTGTGCTATGTTAGAGAGTTGGTATAAGTATATATTTTTTGGTTTGAGTTTGTGTTATTGTATGGATAGTATTAAACATTGATTCAATGTATTAGGTAAAAACAAACCTCTCTGACAATAGGATTTGAATGCAGTTTAGAAAAAAGCTGCTAGGGTGACCAAATTTGATTGACCAAGAAGTACAATGCATACCTTCCAACAATAAAATCATGAAAGTCTTGCATGATTTTTCAAATTATCTAATGCAAATAGCATTGTTTACAATTTAACTAATGTGTTTAATGAATTCCTGATGAAATTAAAAATAGGCATTGTTACTAGAGATACAAGCTTTATAATTGAGCTTAATGTTACCTGACCTTTTGAACTATTGGAGGATGATTAACCGGTAAACCGAAGATTAAATGTGTCAGAGGTCACATTGAAACGTACTTTAGCATGTTACAATGACATATTGGGTACATATAGATGATGTATTGATTAGATAGCCAGTAAACATATCTTTTTGAGACTGTTGGTTGTAGTCTACAATGGATAATAATGTTTATATGCAAACTCCTGTCCAAAGGACAATTACAAGGTAACAGACAGTATATGAAGTGGTAAAGTACTAGTATGTCTAGTCTTTACTATAAACTACTGTAGGTCTATTATCTGGCATTTCTGTGTACATTGTTAGGGCAGGGCTTGTATCACTAGTATGGATTGGAAAGCTAGAAAGTTTTATGTAAATAGATAACTACATAATCTAAAGTATACAAATAGCATACAAATTTAAAACTTCTTTACAAACTAACTAAAGTCTTGTTCCATTTCTAGTTATACTATACAGCGTTTGTAGAAATGAAATGTAGTGTTTAAAACATTGGTAATTTTTCTTGTGTTTTTCAGATCCACGCCCCCCCACCCACCGTCCTACCGTGATGTCCTGCTCTCCCCCCATACCAGCCTGGCGGAGGCTAAGTCCTACCGCTCACGATTTACTGTACCAAAGAGCGCCCCGGCTCACAGAAGGTAACTTCTACTGCACTTCTTCACATTCTGGAAAAACATGGTAGAATCGGATACTGGAATTTCGTTCAAGCTTGGTACACCCAAAATTTACTTACCGGTACTGCAAGCAAAAGTACTTTTGCTAACTTGTTTGCTTTATGCAGTTCTGAACTGTCTATTATCCTTATTAGTGATTATAATATGGTGTTTTATATGCTATATCATGTTATCTTATACATGTATATGTATTGTTTTTGTATGGTTTAAGATCTATTTTGATTGATTGTTGCTTCATATTTCAGCCTATCGCTGCCAAATTCTGATACTTTTACCCAGTGCAGCCCCTTCACACTCACTCACTATGCAGGATTTAATCATACTGCTGCTGTTGCACATTTCAGTCTTTCAGATAAAACATTCAATAAATGTACTGCTCTATAAACTGGTTCCAAAGATTGCTAGAAATAAAAGAAAAACTTACCAAGTCCCAATTTTGCATCAGGTACAATGTACAAAGCTCAAACACCTAGAGAATGATATGGATTCAAACTTTATAAACTTAGCAAGTACTATACAAAGACATTTTTACAAAGCAAATCCAGCTATTGCCTTTTATTATTTTCCTTATAGCAACCAACCAATTTCATTGTTGCAGCCCAAAAGGATAAAGCACTCAAGTTGACTGAGTTCTGTAGTACAACACTTTGTCATTTCGTTGTGAAAACATTCTTAACGCGAAAAAACCAACTGGTGCCGACCCTACACCTAGAACAAACTGCACGGCTCCTGCCCCTATTCTACTCCATTGTGGTGTGGACACACACGGTTGTGTTGACACTGTTACTGGGAGCTTTGTCGCCCAGGAAGCCATGTCCGCCTTTTAGTTTGCGATGAAATACAAGAGTTAGCGCTCAGTCAACATGGCGGGGAGTTAACCAGAATTCCTTCACTGATAAAGGCATCGGGGGCCGAAAATTTTGTGTAGTGGTTAATTTATTACGTCTTAATGAAAAAAAATGCTGACTTTTATGATTATACTTGTTCTTTTTTTCTGATAGAAAGGTATATATAGTGGAACAAGTAAAATGCTACTACAAGTAGCTCCTTTTGTTTCAAGGCAATATACAAATGTAGGTTATGATTGTCCAATTAGATACATTTATCTGATCATTATATAACTCGTAATAATCATACGGTTAGGTTATTCGTTTGTGTAGAGTTTGTCTTTTCTCCTTTCAGTTTATTCAACGAAATGATTAATATTTTAATCAAAATACTGTCAAGTGATTATTATTAATCCATACCAATTTTTTCCTTGGTTCTTGGACCTGTTAAGGTGAAAATATACCAAGTAGACATCATAAAAGCAGAGGGCAAGGAAGAAAAACTAAATATGACTGTATTATTATCACTGCATAAAACCTCAAGTGCACCAAGACATAAATCTAGTCCTCAGACTTTGTATTCACTGATGTTTTTCCAGTTAAGTAATTTCTTTTAAATCCGAGAACCAACAATTAACTTGGTGTGGCCTTCCATTTACTGTTATAGAAAGAGCCTGACAGATTATGAGATGTTGTGTTCATAGCAAAGCCTTTTTATATTTAATGTTGTGACAACATGTTTTGTTTACTGGTGGACGTATTGTGACAGTGTCATTCAAATGTCGTTTGTTGTCAGGCCGTGTTTTAACATACCTGCTGTCGTGGAACGATTGACGCCAACATTTACCTCTGCCTGTTCAAATAGCAACTGTCGTTTTCTCCATAGTGCGGGCACGTCTCGAGTCAACACTTTCTCCCTATATCTCCATAATGGGGACAGTTTAACGCACAAACGTCAAACAAGATGGTTGCCTTTTGAAAGTGTACCCTGAGTTTTTTTTGGTTAAAGAAATCAGGACCATTCTGAAGCAATTTAGCTTTGTTTGAGAAAGTTGTTTTGGAAGAAGCTTTGTGAATTTCTTAAAGCACTAAACTTTTGTATGTCTTGAGTTAAAAGAATTAGTTTGGTAGCTTTTTTAACCTATTTTCTCCAAGACAAAGGTGTTGCGTTTGTAAAAAGACTGTTCCTTGCAGCCATCTTGTTTTTGGTTTTCGTGAGAATTTGATAACACTGTCAGCTATGTCGAACCAAGGGCTCTTGAGCGCGCTTTTGTCGGGATTCGGTTCGTTGTATGGGATCAAACTGGAGCCGGGGAAGGCGAAACTCCCTCCGCTGGAGCACGTTCCCGCCATTCACGTTCACGAAGCGTAAGTTTCAGAGCCAAGTGTAATTAGCGACTGTTATAGAGCACTTCAGACTAAGGACATGTTGAACATGGTCTAGACAAGATGTCACGCTGAAGGTACTTGCTACAAACCTTGTTACCTCCGTTGAGGAGGTTATGTGTTAGGTACACCATATATAGGGATTTGTGAATGTTTTAAGCGGTTCTAACTAGACATACTCTAGACAAGATGTCATGCTGAAGGTACTTGCTACAAACCTTGTTACCTCCGTTGAGAAGGTTATGTGTTAAGGTACACCATATATAGGGGTTTGCGAATTTTTCAGCTATTATAACTAGACAAGGTCTAGACAAGACAAGGCTAAACTAAATGTACATACCACAAACCTTGTTACCGTCGTTGAGAAGGTTATGTGTTAGATACACCATATATAGGGATTGGCAAATTTTTTTAACGGTTATAACTTTGGGTCCAAGAATCAAGAAATGCAATTGGTGTGGCCTTATGTTCCTTTTACTTTTTCAAGAGGCAAGCTCTCTCCACCACTCAGTCACTTCACTGAACTTGAACTACTGGTATAAAACAGTCCGATTTTGAACAGCGACGGTTGGGAAGTGGTTACCATAGTGATGTTAAGATTGACAGATGGTCGTATGTTCATGGACAAAAGGAAAGGAATTTTACAGAAAGACCCTGTCAGAAATATAGCGAGACAAAGTGTTCCAAGGTTTTAATAAGGATTAAGATTTCAATAATACACTTCCATTTATTATGTCTTTTAGGAGCTAAACATTACTGGCAGTTTAACAGTTGTCATTGGAAACGAGTTAATAGGCCACACCAGTTTAAATTCCTGGTTCTTGGATTCGCTAGTTAATTTTTTTTCTGAGTATACGAAAATAAAACCTGTATTATCCAGGTTCTGAGTCAATCCCAAAATGATCAAATGTTGGCAACAACAGTTGAAGAAAGTCCTTGTCGTCCAGTTTTTTACTGTAACAGATTTTCAATGTATCAATGCAATGGTTTCATTCAAAATTCATTGCTTGAATTCTAAACCAGCCTAGTACATGTATGTTGACTTTGTGGCTCCTATCATAGCATTTGAGGCTATCATAGAATGACTAGGCCTCTATTTTTTTTCTGGCTCGCTTCATTGATTTCCTGCACAATCCCAGAACCAACAAATCAATTTGGTATGACCTTTACAATAGCCAGCTGGCATACCAAACATCGGGATCAATTCTACCAATGCTTATGTGTCAAGAAAGACCTTTGGAATACGTGTAACACTAGCTATAGCTAGTACACGCAAAAAAGCCAAGGATGTTCAGTTAAGTCCTGTATGTGTACGTGTAATGTTGCTAAGTTTTGCAAAAAGTTTGCAACAAGGAACTCTGGTTGGTGGTTAAGCTTCACTAGATATTGAAGAGAGGCCAGCAGCTTGAGTTGTGAAGAAGTCCAGCAAGGAGCTTTTTGTAGCTCAGGTCAAGAGAGAGAGATTTTCTCCGTTCGACAAACAGTGACTGGCCAAGCACAACATAAGGACAGCTGGCTGGAGATCAGGACAAACAACTGAGAACTCTGTAGGAATGCCTGGATACAGCAGGAACATGTCCTCTACAGTAACGTGTCACTAACGTACCGTGTAGTATGGAGTTTTATGGCAGTCGTGCTTCAGTGTGCTACCATGGTGATGTGACCGAGTGTTATTTGTGAGCTGTTGAGCAAACCGCAAGATGATGTCAGAATGTCCTTTCGCAGCCCTTTTGTACCAAGGAGTTAGTAGGGATCATTTTTTGACCGAGATGTACAATGTACAATGGATGTACAATGTTACACCACTCTAGCAGTACATGTAGGCTATCTACATGAAGGATTCAAGATTGTAAGCTGTGTTTCTTAAGGAGATGTGTGGAAGACATTGCTGCTTCTTGGATTGGAAGGAGATTAACTAGAAGAACCCGTGCCCCTGAAGTACCTTCAAGATGCAGGGACGTCTTACGTGTCAAACTTGGAACTCAAGGACTCCAACAACGGATGTGGTTTTACCTAACACTTAGAGTTGAAGAAAACTGTATTGAGAGAGGGTGACTTGCTTCTTTGCAACATTGCAGACAGAATTTTACAGTTTTTCCGTGATTTTGAAGATCTTGCTGGATAAAAAAACAGCTGGAGTGGGACTATGACAATGCTCGCCAAGAAAACCACCAAGATTCGCCTAGTTTATGACATGAGGAGAATGTGTTGGATCTCTCTGTGGGTTGTCAGGATTTTTTGTCGACTTAATCATTTTTTTTATCATAGTTTGCCATCTATATGCATGTATGTACCTAAATGTTGTATTTGTTACTCACTGTTTTTGTACTCATTTTCACAGAGTTGAGCGAAGAAATAGGTATAAACTGCCTTTCCCATGGGCACAACATTGGAAGCTGCCAGGGATTCGAACTCAGGACCTCCAGATTCTAAAACAACAACCTTACCATTACTGTAACTTTGTCACCTTCAGTTTTCTTCAGAGTGATGCAGCTTCTGTTTTGTACAGATATATCAGTCATCAGGAACTGCCATATAAATAGAGACAGACATGTCAAAATCCGTATCCGTGTAACACCGGTTTGTGTTCCAGATGTGAGCGGTTGGACCAGGTAGAACCAGAACAGATCAGTGCAGACAGACAGCCGTATGAGACGGAGTCTCGCCCCTCCACCAGTACAGCCATCAGACACAAGACTCTGGAGAGTCATCTTCCAGTCAAGAGGGCCAAACAGCCCCAGAGTAAAGAGGTTAGAACTTAGGGCATTTCTCAACAAGTACAGGTGTACAATTGGCTTGAAAGTCAGTAGAAGTCATTCTGAAGCAAGGATGAACTATAACTTAATAAGTTCCAATTCAAAAATTTGACAAATTTTTGACTGTCCAACTTCTACTCCAGTATGTTTCAAGGAATGAGCCTCTACTGATTCTGTTACCTCACTTTACAAAAGCATTGTTTGCTTCATCATCATCATCATTCACTGGTATCTACAACTGTTGTTGTTTTGTAAATAGCTTACTGTGAATTTTTAAACTTTCGCAAGTATTTTATTTTCACATTTTTTTTGTCAGCAAACGTGGTAAATTTTCAGTGTGTAACTACTGTAGCACTTTTCACTTTCCCTCGTACTGCAAAATAAAATCACTGCAAAATTAGATAAATCTACAGTAATTAATACATGAACATATTAATATAGTTTGCAGCAAACCATAGATAGATGTTTGTGAACTGGATGGTGAGTTTCTCTTGTTTGCCATGTTCCCAGGAGTCTCCCATCCCAGTTGTGGTGTCCCCTGGTTACGTGTTGTCACGCAGTCGCAGCAAGGTTGCCATGACGATAAAAACAGACGGCTTCTTTGATCCGCCCAAGAAGGAAGTGCCGACCCACACACTTGACCAGGCAACGTGAGTTTGTTTGTTTGTTTGTTTGTTTATTTGAATTTTCCTCAGGCTACATTGGACGGGCAGGCAAAATAGGGGATGAAGATAGCCATTACAAGTTTCTTGTATGTAATTTTTTTTCCTTTTGCTACACATTCACTGTTCTTCTCTAGATCTGCTTTATTCATTTATATCAGATTTAATCTCCCACCATTGGACTCCTGCACTTCCATACTTGGCCCCTAGGGGGCACTGTTTCCTCTGCTTTGTAGAATCACTAGTGAATACGTTGTGCATGTTGTTTTGTAACAATTGATGAATGTACAATGTTAATGTCTCATTCTCTCCCTAGTAAGAGTTGTTAGAGTCAGAAGAAATTTGCTTTCTTGTAGAAACCACTACAAAAAAATCCTATTTGTTGTTTTTGCTTGCTGTTCAGAGTTCTGTCAAAATGCACAATAGTCTGACCTGTTACACTGGTATTCTGACAGTTGAATTGCTGCATGAAATTAGACCTTTTTCTTCTTTTTTTCCCCACTTTAGACAAGACCTGATCAGTGACTTGAGGCAGCAGATTTCTGACCTAACCTTGTACCTAGAAGAAGAGAAGCTCAACCATAGGGACACTAAGAAACAGGTGGGACTACTTGTACTTTGTTTATTAAATAGGTGGGACTACAAAAAACATAACTTCTACTACAACAGTAACTGTGGTCTGTAGCAATTTATTGCTTGAACTACATGTACCTCAATGTACAAATGTTTTGTTACCTTCTTCCAACCACCCCCCCAATATTTGACCTCCAATTTGACCTTCCTGCCAATCTGTGCCACCATTTCCCCTCACTTCCTGTGACTCAGTACTGAATCAAACACAGCATATCTGAAACTTTTTTTTCTATCAGATGTCGGTAAGATTTTTTCAATAACAATATTAATATAATTTCCAACCTTTGCAATACAGGCTGCTGAAGAACTGAAGAAAAGAGAAGAAAAGTTGAACACGAGACATGAAGAGGAAATGAACAGGTTGGAGGATGAGTATGAGAAGGAGATAGCTGACATGAAGGCTGCTCAACAGAAACTCATGGCCCAGGAAAAGGCTGCGTCTGAGGCTATACATAGTAAGGGACATTATCACATTGCTTTATATTACTTTCATATATTGTTGAAGCAGATGTGTAACTTTGGCATGTTTTTGTTGATCTTTCTTTTAGTTTGTACAAGTTGAATTTATTTCTTTCTCCATTAAATTTTACAGACAGACTAACCTCAGACCTCAACTTCATGAAAAGTTCCTTTGACACCTACAAGGTAGGAAATGTTTCTAAACCCTTTTCCATGATTTAAAGATTTATTTTATCTTAGATAAGACTTGTTACAGTTAACTGAGTATCTTATTGACACAACAAAAGTACAGGGACATCTTTTAGGTTTTCTACAACTTTGGATACACAAAAGTAAAGTTTAACATAATCTTAACATGATACATCCTAAATTTCAATATTTTATATCTTTGAATTTGAGTGTCACAAGTATTAACTCTATGGATTTTCTAGTTGTGCCTGAAAACAAGTTAGTAAAAAATGATGCTTTAATTGTTAATTTCTTTTAATTCCTCATATTTCAGACCCAAATAGTTGAGGAGATGGATGAAAAGTGGGCAGACAAGGAGGCAGAACTTCACTTCAAGTTTGAGGAAAGGATAGAGTCAGCTATATATGAACAAAGTAAGTCAGCAGTGAAAAATGCAGAAAATATACCAGTCCAGAATGATAGTATTTTTCATTAATACATAACGTCACTGGCAACTATGTTAAAGTGTGACTAGAAACTTTTCTAGAACCATGTTACTGTATAATTTAACAGAGTGTCTTTACAAGAACCTGATGTACATACATGAGGGGGAGTACTCAATGAATGAAACTGTTTTAGGCCATTTTCATTGTGTGGTTTGCCAATAGATCACTGGTTCAATACCTGGCATTCCTAGCTAGATGTTGTATCCTTTGGAAAGACACTTTACTCAAGTTTCCCCACTCCACCCAGGCGTGAAATAGGTACCTGACTTCAGTTGGGGAGGTAAAAGATGGTGGAAGGAGAGGGATGGGCTCCGCCTTCCAATACCATGACCTAGACACAGTGGATTAACAACCCACTGTCCCTACAGTCTCAAAAGGCTACAGGACATTTAGTTTTTACCTTACCTACTTGCCAATGTGTTTATAAACTATTCTTTTGTTACTTTCTGTTTTAGAGAAACAGTTAATCCATGAACACCAGGATGAGAAAGCTGCTATGAACCAGGAGTTTAAAAGACAAATTCAGACCATCGCTCGGGAACACAAAAGGGAAATAGACGTAAGTCAACTCAGTACAGTCTTTATTCAGACAACTGAATTGTGTCATGTGGACAGGTATCAGGGAAACATTTCAAAAGATTATTTTTTCTTTGAAAAAGTGTCTTCACTGTTCCTCATTGATTCGTGAATAATTTAAGAACTTTATCCACAACCACTTGTTTAATTACAAGGGCCAATGTTTCGATGGCCGTCTGTCATCTTCATCAGGGTAATTACCGGTACATATGTATGAGAAGAGTCAAAATTGCCAACAGATGGTCATCAAAATGTCGGCTCTTGTTTAACAAGTGGTTGTGGATAAAGAACGTTGCTATTCATGTCTTCACTGTTATCTATGAAATCAGTTTAGACAATAGAGCTTAGATTAGAATAGACAATAACAATATGAGGTTCAACTTGAATGTGACATTCCATACATTGTACCTGCTACAATGTAACATACATGTAAGACTGCCCATCATATAATAATACAATATAGCAAAAATATGTATTACAAACTATTGATATCTACAATGTAAATGTAACTTTGGTTTTGTACCTGTCTCTGTGTATTATAAATTCATTAGTAACAGTTAGTAACACAGCCAATCCTCTATACTAGTGAGTACCATGATTATAAATGGTGTGTTTGATACAATGTTCTTTCTTGTTACCACAGGCAATCAACAAAAGATATGCCAATGCTGCTCAGGACCTAGAGAGACTAAAGAGAACAACAGAGGAACTCAATGTAAGGTTTTTGAATAACAAGACTCAATGTTTTATACCCTGAGATTACATATACATGTACTGTAAATCACGATTTTTGTGGTGCTTTTATATTTGCGGTTTTCACAGGGACTTCTGTACCATGAACACTTCCGTGAACAAATAATTTGCAGACTTTCTTTTTGCTGCACTAGCCGATGCAAACATGTCCTTTTTTCTCAGACCACAAACTCTAAGGTACTGCAAATATAAAGTGATTTACAGTAACGAGTAGTTGATTGATCAATAACATGTAGCGTTTCTACATTGGTATAAGCTTTTTAAAGCTTATAAGCAACTCAGTGTTGCTTATTAGATTAAATGAAAACTGCATTGAATTGCAGTCATTGGCTTATGGTTTTTAACTGAATACTGATTCTTTTGTTTCCCAGATTGCCCGTGTTGAGTTGGAAGACACAAAGAAACAACTGAAGGAAACAACCGAGAGTTTCAAGAGGACGTTACGTGAGCTACAAGATGCTGTAAGTAACTTTACCCATTAATGTCTCGTAGCTTGTATCTATAGCAGGGGTGCTACAACTTTATTACAACTGGGTACAGAAGTATTGTTTTTTTGGGGTGGGTAAACTTTGGGTTTGTGTGTCTGTGTCTTTGCGGCTGAGGGAAAACTGACAGACAGGTCAAAATGTCAGACACAGGACATGGGGTGAACTGTAAAGCAGGTTAACAGCACATGGGTGGGATGAAGATTGACAGGCAGAATGCCAGATGGTCAAAATGTCCTGACATGGAAATGGAATGTACTTAAAGGTCACAAAAACCCGACATACCTCCCAATAGTCTGAAATTTCCTGTTTACGAAAACTTGTGACATTAAAAATCTCCTGTACCCAATACTAAATAAAACTGGTTTCTATATTCCTGTCTTACAGAATGTGCGACTGATAGACTTTGAGGAGAGGTTCCATGAGAAGGTTTCGGAGGTGGATGACAAGTACAGACAGAGGATGCACAACCTCATGCAGGAAAATGCAGACTTACGGTGAGGACAAGTGTTAATTACTTTCTTAGTGGTTTTATTTCTTAGAGATTTTCTCAGTGTTTCAAGCTCATGACAGTGAAACAATTCTCTTACTTATTATAGAAATACCAAACACGTATTTACGGTGTCATGATCACAAGAGGACACTGCAAAGACTGAAGAAAAAAATACAACCACTGCAATTATTTTGTGATGTACAGTATGATACAAAATGTACAGTCAAAGTCAAAGTCTAGAGTGACATCTCAGTGGTCACTTATAGAGCTTGAAATACTTTTTTGGGCATACCTGCACTGGTACAGGTATTTACTGTCAGTGGTAGCTATGTACTGTGACTATTTTATGTAAAATCTTGAGTGAGTAGACAAGTTATATTATTATTATAAGTTAACATTAACAATCAAAAGCACAATAAATGAACAGGACAAGTAACAACCAAAAACATCATACACATGTACATTTACAAACACCACTGGACACCCTTCATTAAGTACAAACAAAATAAGTGCATTGATTTGCATATCCTCTGTACCATTTTCACTGTTTGACACATCTGGTTAATATGTAATTCAAACATATTGGTTTGAGTGAAAATACCCTGTATTTTATGTTTTTGTAGTTTTAGATTATGTAGTAATTTGTCATGTACTTTCTCGTGATCAGCTCCTTTGGTCATGGCTTTCAAAAAAGTTCTGAAGTCAGGCTTTAATCCCCTCTTGGTTAGTAGTCGTTCTTGTGGATCTGAAGGTTGAGGGTTCGATTCCCAGTCTTCTCTTCAATATTCTGCAGAAGTGTATGATACTGATACTGGTAAAGTTCTTTTTGGGGGATATTGTAATCTTACTGTCCCATGTAGAATTATTAGCTTAGAAAACCACATATTGAGCCCATCAAAAAGTCCACTACTCTTTTCAAAGTTAGTATGGGCATACCCATTTTGCCTGTTGCAGGCAATATCTTTTCCAACACAACATTTGAAAACTATTGAACACAACCTTAAATGAGATGTTCTGAAGAAGTGCTATGCACAATAAAAGGCTAGGTGGGTTTTGCGCAGGTGCAGTACGTAGTGGTTCACAGGCTGTGTGAGTTGTCTCTGGCTTCATATATCCCATGTATACTTTGTCGCAGTCTGTACTAAGACTTTTGGAGATTATCCTTCTGACGACACTTGTGGCCTGACACAAATACAAGCCACCGCAATGGTCTTCAACTTTCTCCTGTAGCTGTACGTGTGTTTCCCGTCTTTTGGGCACTTTTGGCCCTTTCTCATCTTCTTCTTCTCAAGAACTGGCACTGTGCCATAATATGGTATACTTTCACCGTTTGCATCTTCCCTCTTGTTCTTATGGTCATAGCAGTGTTTGTAGTTGCAATTTGCAACTGCAATGTCTTTAGGGAAACGGTTTTCATCATGGTCTAGTACCAAGTTCCACGGTGCAGCTGCTCTGAGGTTGACGTCGTCTGGATATTTTGGAGTCTGGTTTGCTGCAAGTTCTCTCCCCATCTTAAAGGGAAGAATTTTGTTGAAGTTTCGTAGATTATTCAGTTTCAGTTGTTTCAGTAGGCTCCTTTCTCTTGGTTCCTTTAATGTGCAGTTGGTTTTGCCGTATATACAGTCAATCAAGACCAGGACAAGGAGTGCAAAAATCTGTAAAACAAAAACCAATTAGATTAGTCAATTCGAGGCCAGAAGAATGACAGTTGAGATACAATGTTTACCTGGTTTGACCTTGTAGTCAAAGAGTCTTTGTGAAAGTTTATCAGAATGACAAAGAGTGTATTACAGTCAGATTAGGGCCCTCTGGTCTTGCAAATAGCCAATCAGCTTACAGGATTCTGGTTTGCACTGATTAAGATTGGCCAATCAGAGATAATTAAATTGTTATAGCCAAGTCTCATGCTTTCTAGAATATGATGAAACCTGTAGGAAAAGTTTTGTGAAAAGCCAGGAATGTCCAAAAATTATTCAACCATTGCAAATAGACTAGTTCTTTTTGTTTCTTACTAGTACTGTACAGTTTTGTGCGGGACATGTCTACTGGTTTCATTGTCGCAGTTTCTGCAGTGACCTCTTACTGCAAAATCATGAGATCTCATTCTGTTTCATAGTACTACACTGTACTACAAAAACTTCTAACAACCAAGAAAAAGTGTTTTCCCTCATACTGCAAAATAAAACCAACACAAAGGTACAGTAAACAGAGTTTTCATTGTTTCTGATGCTTAAAAATAGGTTATCTTCCAGGTAGATAGTTGTGACAACCCAGTGCCAGGCAACCTGTCACACCTACATTTGAATATTGCACCACTTTGCACATAGATAAGCTTATCAAATGAACATAACCCAACATGTCTTACCTTAAGAATTGCCTGGATGCTCATCTTTAACAAGGATACATTTCAACAGTTATGGTTTCAGATAAAGATGAACTTTTACTGCAGACTTGGTTTTAACTTAACACATTTTTTAGGTTACCAACTCTGTACCTTGTAGTACTAGTCTCGTTTTGTTGACGTCAATTATTGTGACGAATAGCCTAGAGAGCAAAGAATTAACCCACAAGTCAGGTGTCTAAAGCTTGGGGCTGGAGAGGGGATTCCCCTGAGTAGTCCAGGCAAGTACTTTATTTAAATCTGTGTTAAATATTGACACAGTGACAGTACAATATTTACCACCAAGCAATTCTATTGTGTTGCTATAGTAACAGTTACAAATATTTCAACTGTATGTGGACTGAAAATTTTGAATTGCAAACCTCTGATTTTCATTGTTGTGACATTTACATGTGTAGGTGCTTTAGAATTTTGTGTAGGTGCTTCAGAAGTTTTCTTTCATTTGTGTTGTGACCTTTTTCCTACAGGAGAGAAGAAAATACTGTGTGAGGGTGTCACAAAACAAAGTTAGTGCAGAAATTCCCCAGCTAAACCAGATAGGAGTGTGAGTGAGTAACACAGTGAGTGTATGACATCGACAAGGGGATTTCGACATTTTTTTTGGGGGGGGGGAACCACCCATGGAATTAGTCTAGGTCCTCATTGTACAAAAGCATTTGACAGCCGTGACAGTGCTAGCATTAACAAGCAACGGACATAAGGTCATACCAATTAGATTTTTGGATAGTAAGTAGAAAGACAAGTACAGTCAAACCTGCCCAGGGGACCAAAGAAAAGCGGTCACCTTGGACAGGTGGTCTCCTTGAAGAGGGTTGCCTCACAACATGACCAAGACATAAATGGTTTCCAAGTCGAGTTTTAATGTCAAATGCTGTAAACATCTTCAGTTCAGTGGTGAATGCATATGGGGAGGGTGGTGCATAGCACAATTTATGTCAAACAAAACATTGACCAGCAGTCAAGCCAAAGTAGCCGATTTCACCGTGATGATTTCTCGTTAATTATTATCAATATTCAACATGATTGAAAATGACATGGCTGCCATGGGCAGGTATCGGGCCTTGAGCGAACCCAACTCATGGTCACGTTAGCCAGTTGGTCACCTAGGACAGGTCACTTAATGCTTGTGTAAATGAGGAAAATTTTTGCCATTTTTGGGGGTTGAAACAATAGCATAATGTACAACTATGTTGTTTTTGTTGAATCATGACTGACAAGACAGGCTGTCCAGAGATTTAAAACTCTGATATCTCTTACCTTTAAAAGCAACAGATTCTCCATTCTGATGTTTGACGATGTTAGATTTGTCCAGAAGTCCTTAAAGATTAGATTGACAGTTCTGTCCTTTCAACTGTTCACTGACGCTTACTCGGTCTGTCACTTTCAACTGCCCTTAGGCACAATGTACCCTGGTATATTCCTGCAACTCTTGCGGCTTTGGTCGGTGAAATTTGTTGGGGAAGGCTTCATTATATACATTTTGTAGCCTTTGAAGATGACTCAGTGGTCAGATTTAGCATACTTTGGAATTTTTATGCTGTCATACAAAACCATGATGTCAGTGGTAATTCCCTGTTTGCGTACTTTATTAGTATGTATTGGGAGTCCCAACTTGTGCTAGGCTGTGACATACATGTTTATAAATGTCAGTCAAACAGACAACTTTGTGGGGAAAAAATGAACCCTCACAGTTTATTCATTAAACAAATTGTACATCAAATTCTTTGTGTAACAATCGTTTTTAGCCATGAAAGTTGAAAGTTGAAATTTGTCATGGGACTTTTCCATGCAAATGTGGACTCTCTCGTCATGGAATTCCCCAACTTTTCTGCGCATGCCATGACACACAAAAGTTCCCCACTCTTAAAACACTTACGACACCTCTTGCTGTGTATTGTGTATTGTACCCATTTAGTGCAGGTCAATCCTAATTTTGGCTCAGGGTCAAGTATCTAGATGCTAAGCATTACGTTGTTATGTGTACAGTACAAATACACATAGTACTTGAGCTACTGGTAGTTGTAGTTGTACACCAGAATAAGTGTCATGTTTTTTGTGATAAGTATCACAGTGTTTATAGTTATCATGCCTTTTTCACTCGCCAGGTTGTCACAAGTTTCTTTGGTTATTTGTTGAGAAAGAGGAAAACAGGCATTGTACTGATTTGTAGAATAAAAGGGTGGTGCTAGGAATGTTACTGTAAATAGTATAATGTTACACCCCATGCAATTACAGAGTAAACATTACATAGTGGCATCAAAGGGCAAAGAACACCTGTTACAAGGACACGGTACATATCAATAATTTAGTCTTTGGTTGGAGTAATCCTTAACTATTTTATTAGCAGGGCATTTCTGAGGGAACTTTGGAGGGGGAAATTTGTTCTGGACTTTTTTATGGGAAAGTTTATGAAGCAAATGAAGGGGATTTCATGATCATATGCCATAAAACTTTCTAGGGCATAATACAGGGAGTCAATGTGAATCATGAGTACTTTTCAATGTATTTCAAAAGTTCTACACACAAAATGTATTTTTTAAATTGCTACAGCGGAACGTCTGGTTTGTTATCTCGTGATCTAGACATGAAGGGTCAAGGGTCATGAACTTTGAATGGTAGATAGCTTTTGTACTTGTAAGAAGTGACGTGAGTTTGGGCCCCCTAACCACTTGTTCTGGAACTGCAGGGGCATTCATTTAAAAAGTTATGTTTTAAATCTTTACATTTCTTGTTGGCTACAGGAAGCGGTACATGTCCAAGTGTGAAGAACTGTACGATGTGAAGTCGCAGAACGACATCCAGGTACAGGAGAGAGTCCAGACTGCGAAGGACACGCTACAACATGTCATCAAGACCCGTCATCGCGCCAACATCAGCATAGCTGCCTCCGATCCCTCATTGGACGAGAAGAAAAAGATCCAACACAGCCGTCCTCTCAGCGCGCCGACCACGAGGAAAGAAACTGTAGAAGCGAAACTGGGAGAACTACAGATTCAAGACAAGGACCAGACTAGTGTAAAAACCCCTCCAAGTGCCGGTAGACAAAAACTACTGCCCTCCAGACCACAGACTTGTGTAGGAAGGAGGGCTTGAGGCTTTCACAAATGTTTTACAACTGTTAATATTTAAGTTGTACATTTTGTCCAACATTTTGTATATTATGAAAGTTGGTATTATCTATAGATTTATATGCTTAATTTTGCATAATTTCAAGATTGACAGTAAAAGTCAGCAGAAAGAGAGTTGTTTGTGTAAAGCAATTACAAGAAAAGCTGGCTGCTGAAAGCTTCCAAATGTTTATGGGGAGCATTTTTTAATAACAATGTACAGTCAAACCAGAACAAGTGGCCATCTCTACATAAGGACTACTAGTACAATATACCTGTCCAATGTGACCACTTTTTGGTGGTCCCTTAGATACTCAAGCATTAAGAATCTTGTCTGTAGTGACCACCTGTCGACATAGACCAGATTTTATCAGTCCCGAGTGGTCTTCTGGGGCAGTATTCTAACTTTTGACTGTACAATGTACATACATATAGTATATACAGTTTTTAATAGACTGAACTGCCAAAGAAGAATATCAGTCAATGATTGTATCTTTTCCACCTCTTTTAAACCTCTTTGTTATACCATTTGTAATATTCATCCAGATAATTCTACTTTATAATAATGTACATAAAACTATTACCTCGCAATGGGCTGCTATGAAGAGCTGACAGCTTAAAAAAAGTAATCATTAATTTGACTGGCTCAAAGTACAAAATCTTTATGAATTATGATTATCATAGTTTCTACATGTTCTTTCTATGGATTTCTTGGTACTTTCATTTCATAGCAGAAAATGAACAAATGGTCTATGGAAGAGCTTTCAAAAGCAATGTATTACTCTTACTGGTTTAAGGGAACTTATACTTTGTATTGCTTTTTTCTTAGCTATTTGAAAGTCTTACATGAATATGTATGTATACTAGTAGTTGAAAAAACAATGATTTGAAGTGTTTCAAGTCTCTGAATACAAATTTTTTTCAATTTCTCTTTATTGAATTCATAAAAGCTTGCAGACCACTGTTTACATGTATGTACAAGTTCCTCAATACAAAACCTAATTAATGAAAAGTTGTGTCTTGGAGGTATCATTTTGCATATCAGTTTACATTTGAAGGGTCTTAAAGGAGGATTGTTGGTGACTGGCAGCTCTATTCAGATGATCCACTCTGTTCTTCAGACTAATAAAAAGTGGAAAATGAATTGAATTTAGTAAACTGTGTTCATGTTTTATATTTCAGTAACTCTTTTCGATAAGTGCGGTGGGTTCTTTAACCTGCGTGGGGTGTGGCTCTCCCCAAACACGGGACCTCCATTTAACATGATATCCGAGGGTCGTCCGAAGCTAGGTACTCATTTCCACCTGAGTGAAGTGAGGAAAGTCGTGTAAAGTGCCTTTCCCAAGGGCACAAGATCGGTGACATGGGCAGGATTCGAACCCGCAACCTCTTGGGTGTTAGCCGAATGTGCTACCGACTGCGCCACACGACCCCACACACTACTTGGAGAGATATAGAATGTAGCTAAGAAAAGGGATGGTGAGAAAAAGGAGCTCGATCATCGGCAGAACATACAGAATGATTGAACAGGCAAAACTGCTGGGAATATTACTGGACCAACAGTTGATGTTGTTGACTCAACACCTTAATAAATTACTAGTAAATCCAAAATGGCAAGCACTTGCAACATCTCAACTGTTGTAAGAACATGTGTGAGTGCCCCAGCAACAGAAACTGTTTCTGGGAGTCCGTACGAGCTTATACAAGCGAATGCAGAAGAAAAGAAGTAGAGATAGATCTCAGCAGTCTCACAGCATGCCAAAGTACTCATTAATTTCTGGCATTTTGTATATATTTTCTAGTAGTGTTTTGATCTCTTTACCACCAGCTAATACATGAACAAACAAAATTCCTCAAAAGCATTATGAAAAAATGCCTTGTGTGCACTGTTCATGAGAGCCTGTTGATCATGGCACTAATGCATAACATGGAACTGATAGTGAGTTCAGCACCAAGGAGAGATCCATACCTATGATATGAAGGCATTGCTACTGTTTATTTAAGGCACCAAGTCAAGATTCCTTTAATAACACCTATGCTTAGGACACTGTTTACTTCTTCTTACTCTCAAGTTATCTTTAAGTAGAAGAAGACATAAAAGAAAAGATTCTTAAAATCCATACATAAGGCAACTTTTTAATTGTAATTTTCCTTTATAACAAACCATTCTGTAGGTAATTTTTCATTCGTTTTCATTGTCATGCTGCCATCAACACAGAGGACAATACAGTACTCGTTTTCACTTGAGCGATGTGAGGAAAGTCAGACATGTAAAGTGCCTTTCCCAAGGGCACAAGATCGGTGGCATGGCAGGGTTCGAACCCGGGACCTCTTGGACGACCCCAGAATTTGCTAATTAACATTACAGTGCTTATAAGTCATTGTTGATTGGCTGGTTTAAATTGAATTTGCAAGTTTCGTCAATGAGTTGGCCATATTCCCACAATGCATGTCTTGAGGTCTTATTTTTTTTTGCTTTCGAAGAAAATAAGTCTGAAAAATGGTGAAATTTCGATCTTGTCGAGATAGGACCAAAGGAAGAAGTTTGCAGACATTCTCTAACTATGCACCATAAGTGACCAGCTTATGGAAGCTGTTCTTCCTAGTTTATGAGAAGGAAAATGTGGAGTGTCTATAAAACCACAAACGCTGTGAACACGGGAAGGCCGGGATATATATTAGGTTTGCTTCACGATGTATGTTTGTAAACCAGCGCGTACGCAAACCCCACAGAAATTGCCCACCGGTATGGCGGGAGGATTGTAACCATTGAACACCAGAGACTTGCTGTGTGAGGCGCTATGCATGTAATCGCTGGGCTTCCCACAGGCACCAAGTCCGAAACACGTGGGGCGAGCGTCGTCATTTTTGATGGGGGGTTTCTCCCCCTGATAAGATGGAGGCGGTCCGGCGTGGCTGGGAGTAAACAAACAAACAAACAACCAAAAACTAGGCCGTTTTGCACCCCTGTTTGAAAGTCACAGTTGGTACGCTCCGCTTCAGTTATGTGCCGTTCACAAGTTGTCACGTCGTGCTTGGGGGTTTCCGATACTTTTTTTGCAACTTTTCTGGAGAAATTTACGTTTCTTCTTCAGGAGTTTCTTGTTTTAATGTGAACAGCAACCGCAGGGAAGTTTCTGCGGTGAATTCGTGCCGTTTTCTGGATGTTCTGAGGAGAAAATTCGGGTTTCCTGACCAGATGAATTTTGGACGGAGAACAAAATGGCGAGACTGGAATTTGGCCGCACGGAGACTCGCTCATACAAGGTAAAACAACAACTTTTTCTTCGGAATAACTTTCCAACGACTAGTTAGAGCATGGCAAGTATGGCCTGTATAGTTTATTAGTAATTTCACCGTGTAATTCGTCGAATGCTGGGGGGGGGGGAATTCGAGTTGAGAGCGCACTAACCCTATACTAAGAGATATTTCTGCCTTGTCTTGTTGAAGATTTGAATATTTATTCTTCATCGTGTGTGTGTGAACCCTGTGAACCATGTACTTGGCGTGTTTTGTTAAAAACATGAAATATTAGTTGATATTTGTGCAAGAAAAATGATTTATTTGTTTGTCGCCACGTGGTGTTGGCCCCACCTGTTGGAATGTTCCGCGCACGTGGGCTTAATTAAATCGTTCGGTTTTCCCGCCAAAATGCGGCGTGGTCCGCAGTGCTTCAGCTTAGTGTTGAAGAGTAAGCTGTGGATTTAGCATTGCGGATTTCAGGGGCGTTTTTCACAGCTTTGGAAATAAAACTTGACGTTTGTTTCTGTGCAACTCTAGGGTCGAGAGAAGCTGTAGGCGAAATTGACGAACGGTCGGCCGGCGTGGTGTTGGAAAACTCGTCCTTGTATTTTGGAGAGACAACAAAATGGCGAAACTGCATGTGGAGACTTGTCCATTTAAGGTAAAACGACTTTTTCTTCAATATAACTTTAAAACGACTAGCTATAGTTGGGGCATGCAAGCTATGGCCTGTAAAGTTTATTTTATTGGTAATTTCACCGTGTAATTCGTCGAATACTGGGCGGAAATTTCGAGTTGATGGCGGGCTAATATGAGTTAATTTCTGCCTTGCCTTCTTGAATATGCAGTCTTTGTTGTGTCTGTGTGAATCATATTACATGTATAAGTTGATATTTGTGTAAGAAAAAGTATCCCTTTGTTTGTCGCCACGTGGTGTTTGCCCCATCTGTTGGAATGTTAAATTATGGTGACTCTGTTCCTTGTAATTAGTCAAATATTGGGTGGAAATTTCTGGAGTTAATGGAAGGTAATGTGTAAGAGTTATTTCTGGCTTGTCTAATAAAAGAGTTATTTCTGGCTTGTCTAATATAAGTTATTTTTAGCTTGTGTACTGCGTATTTACTCTTTATTGTGGTGCATGTTACATGATTGTACAGGTAGAGTGCAGTTTCTTCCAGAGAAGTAACAGTTAAGTTGTTCTTGTCAAAACCAGGTGATGCAGAGAAGAGTGGAGTTTCTTCCCAAGAAGATGTCTTGTGTAAAAGTTAACAAAGTTGTTCTTGACCAGACTAGGTGATGTGAATAGTAAAGACTTTCTTCCCAAGAAGATGTCTTGAGTAAGAGTTAAGTTGTTGTCTAGACCAGGTGATGCAGAGAAGAGAGCAGAGTTTTTTTTTTAAAGACATCTTGTGTAACAGTTGTTGCTGTCCAGACAGGTGATGCAGAGAAGAGTGCAGAGTTTTTTTCTGAGAAGACGTGATGTGTAACAGTTCAGTTGATCTTGTCCAGACAAGGTGATGCGTACCCCGAGAGCCAGACTAGGCATGGGCTGTTTAAGCTGGTTCCCTTTGATGATCTTTGATAGCCAAAGCAGTACGCCTGCCTGTCTGAATTACCGTTACGGGGAGTTGAGCCCCAGGGGAGTTGGCCAGCCCTTTGGGCTCAAGTCCTCCGTACTGGAATTTAGATTGGCGAACTGCTTTAGGCTATCGAAGGGAACCGGCTAATGGCCCAAACCTAGTCTGGCTGCCAGGGTAGGCGTCACCTTGTCTGGATTGGAACAACTGAACTGAAAGTTCTTGCCCAAAACAGGTGATGCTGAGACTTTTTCCCCCAGGAGACAGACATCTTGTGTAAAAGTTTAATAACTTTTTGCCCAAACCAAGTGATGCAGAGAAAAATTCAGAGTTTCTTCCTAAGAAGACGTCTCTAATTGTAACAGTTCAGTTGTTCTTATCTCAATTGCCCACTGATGTTGAAGGGAGTTGGATGCTGACATGTTTTGTATGACACTTATTTTTTCTGTCCATGTATTATGGTGAATTTCGAGGGTAAGCTGTCTGATACAACATCACTGTTGACCCCAGCCTCTTGTCCAGGGCTAGGGCTATTGATTCAGAGAAGAGTGAAGAGTTTCTTGTCAAGAAGTCCTGGAAGTTAAGTTGTTCCTGTACAGATAACATGTTCTAGTTAGTTTTGGTTGTCAAGTTGATTCCCTATGGAGAAATTATGTAAAGATGGCTACAATCAATTTCTGAATCAATATCTGGCTAGATTCTGTACTTGACATGTAGATTTTGAATCTGGTAACATGTTGAAGAGGGGGAGTGATATTCTTGGAACTTTTACTGCTTTTTCTTACACCTTCTCTTGTGTTGTTGCAGGCAGCTGTCCAACATGGCTTCATTGCCAACACCAGCCTCCTGTCCAGACATGAGCAGATGAGAGTTTATTCCTGGGCAGCTAAGTTATGTACTGTTTATATCTTCTTGTGATGTTTGCTTTTCAAAGTTGATTGTTGGCCAAAAATTTGGGCCCCAAAAAGTCTGCGGTTTAAGATACTTTTAATTACTGTGACAGTCAGTATTTTACCTTCCATTCCATGCTTTGGGTGTGTGGATTTGTGAACCTGCTTTAAGCAACATATACTTAGTAATGTTTTTTTTTTCATATATTTTTCTCCACAAACCATTTCCTAGTTTTTTGAGACTATCAAATT